AGGCAGCGCCTCGGCGCTCTGGGCCGCCCCGGCAAGGACGTGCGCTCAGGAAACTGAAGGTTTCCTTCCCCTTGGAGGAATTCTCCATGACCTGAACATGGTAAAAGCACGTGAAAAACTAGCAGGAGGTATGATTAATCAAGAATATCATTTGCTTCAAGCTGTTCGATTTTAAGTTGTAGAAGCGGCTGAGGTGTAAAGCATTTAAGCCCCCTTACTCAGAACAAGAGAAAGGAGTGTCTTAACGGCCTTGACAGTTGTCTCTTTTTTCCTGATCCCTGTTTTCTTTGTCTGTTCCAGTATATTATTTCCAAGTAGATTTCAGAATGCAAAGACAGTTTGATGTAGTGAAATATGGTTCGACAGGCCATCAGAAAGCGGTTCCCTGAGGAGGTGAACGTCCTTCATGCGTATGGGTTCAGCTCAGAGACAGGCGTCAGTGTTGCCTGCGGAGGCGGGCTACGCGCTGTTTTGGTGAAACCTCTTGTTAAACTTGTTGCATAGGGTTTGGATTTGCTTTGCTTTCTCCCATGGTGAAAAGCCGTGGTTTACAGACAGAGGCAAGCATTCACACTGGTCACAAAAGAGTTGTGCTTAATTCGTTTTTTTCATACGAAAAAAATACGTAGATTTTTCTAACATGATTCTTTTTTCTTTATTCTGCAGAGACCTAAGATTTAATAGGATTAAAGAAATCCAGCCTGGAGAGTTTAGACGGCTTAAAAACCTGAACACACTGTAAGTTATTTTTCAGCCTAAGGTACTTTCCCTTTTTGATGTAACGTGGTTAGTTTGATACTGTGCCAAATGTGCTGGCCTTTCATAGGTAAGTAGTCTCACAGATTTCAGCTGCAGTATTTACACAGGTGAAGGAAGCAAGATTTAGGCCCAAAGTACTTGAAAGCAAGCAAAACCAGCTGTATGCCTGTTACAGTAAAAAAATCAAATTATTTACTTCCTAATTTTTTATTAACGTTCTTTGATAGGAAATATGAAAAATATAGAACTTGTCCTGCAAGCATGTAAAAATAATTTCTTGAGACATCTTGGTGTATAGTCACACCAGGAAATGATAGGACTTTCCCCCCAGCGTGTGTTGTCCAAATCTGTACTACCTAGACACTTTCGGTGGCTCTTCCTCCTTTCAAGCACCTTTCATCATGCCTCTGTTTGTGATCAGTCCCTCAGTTCTGCCTTTCAGTTTCTGTCAGATATCCATCCTCATGTTTTAGCCGTTCCAAATCCCTGAGTTGAGGTCCATGAGTCCCAAATGAAGACAGGATTCATTAGGTTCAGAGTCCCTCCTTTTTATACATCCATGCAATCAAGGTTTGGGGCAAAGCTGTGAATACAGACAGTGGTGTTCCTGTATGACATAAAGGGTCCAATACACAGAATATTGCTACGAAACACACTAGGGAAAGCCGTTTAGATCCACCTGTTAATGAGAAATCTCTGTTAATATCAATTTTATTGATTTCAGTCTTCTGTTTAGACTAGGGACCAGGATTTTTTTCCTTCATTCTAACCTCCGATACCTGCAAAAAGTCAAACTATTTCAGCTTTTAGATGATTTGTATTTTTTTATTTCTGTCTAATCTTTATAGAGTTCACACCTGAAAAGTACTAAGTAAGCGTTTCACTTTATTTCTGCCAACTGTTACTGTTAAGGCACAATTGTTGTGGGTATTTTTTTTTTTTTTTAGGTATGCCTTTTAATGCTGCATTTATACCTGCTGTCACACTTTTTGGCTTTTTTCCTACAGGTTAAAACAAACGGTTGTGTGTTTAACAAACGGTTGTGTGTTTATTTTTACAGGCTTCTAAACAACAATCAAATTAAAAGAATACCTAGTGGGGCATTTGAAGACCTTGAAAATCTGAAATATCTGTAAGTTAAATGAATGTGACTTTTCTATTAAAATGTAATTGAACTTTACTTCTGAAATGGGAAAGTATTTTAATCTCAAATTGTATTTTAATCTGACTCTCTGTTTCATGTCACAAACTGCTTTGAAAATCTGTGAAATTAAATTACTGGGGTGGGGGGAGAGAGAATTGTGAATCTTTTCCTATAAATAGGTGGTTTGAGGTTTGCTAACACAAGACTGAGGTATTTGTTTATAGGCTGCTGGTTTTAAAGGGCTTACTAGTTGCTATTTACCAAATGCAATTTAGAAAATAAATTTAAAAAGGGTATATTGAAAGATTTAGGAAGTCATCTCTTAAAAGGTTCACTTGAAATTTTCATATAGATACTTTTTTTAGTCTGTATTTTGAAAAATGGTTTAGGAGCAGCTAGTCCAAGATTTCTATTTATATATAAGCTTGGAATTTATTTAAGCTTTTTAACTACCCCCAAATTGTTCACTGGATGCAGCATAAGTTTGTAAGAGAAAAATCAAGTCAAACTGAAAATAAAAAAATATCTTTGTGATCGATCAGAGGGTGTAAGTTATAAAGCAACCTGTACGTTTTAAGAATAATTCTTCGTATTTTTAGCAAATGTGTCATTTATCTTAATTACTCAAATAAAAAACAGCTATCCAAAAAGTTATTTGTCTATAAAAAAGAATCTACAGCTAGATAGTGATTTGTTGTGGATTCTCAGCTCTAGACTCTGGGAGGCTATTTTGTGTGGTGTCATATAGGAAACTTCTATTGATTCTATTGATTATTGTTAGAGTGGCGTGCAGAAAAGAACGATCACTTTGAGATTTCACTTTTTTGGGAATAATTCAAAACATTATTTTTCCATCTAATTTTCAAGAATGTAACCTGAATAGATCTAAGGAGGGAGGAGAAAGGAGGGAAATAAAAATCACATAATTTGTACAGATGTGCCACTTGGTTTTCAAAGCTGTGTTTGATTACGTTCCCTGGTCTCATTTTTATGTATATCATCTTTCAATAATAAAATTGTTTACCCAGTATAAAACTAGAGGAAAGAGAATGTTGAACAGACTGTCCCCGATGAATTATTAAAGTCCATTCTGTATTTGTTTCAGAACATGTTTATATGGTGGAAGTGGTGTTTTGTAACCTTCAGTGTAAAATAATAGTGAAGTACTTAAGGTGCACTAATTCAGGAGGACTAAGCTACTTTATATAGTAACTGTACAGAAATATTGTTAGGTTCTTATTAGTTCTTTATTTTCAGGTGCTTGTTTTGCATAGTTGTATTAAAACTGAGATAATACTGAACTATACATCCTGTTCAGCTCAATAAAAGCGTGAAAAGAGGTTACTGAACTACTACATACATTTGTTCTCATATAAATGTATTAGTGTATATCTGTATCTGTATTATTAAGAGGAAGATCTTTTCCTTTCCTTCTTGTTCCCTGGAAATTTTGGATATAATATAGAAGTGGAATATAGAAGCTCATTGTGGTCATTGATTCAGCTAAAGAGAGCTCTTCTTGAAAAACATCCTCAGTTTTGCTAACAGACTTTATTTTAAAGACCTTTTTGCCTGTATCAGTGACCTGTGCTATAAACGTTCAGAATTGTGCAGCCGTAAAATTGTGACATTCCTAGTACTGGCAAATACTAATACAGAAGGCTCAAATGTACCAAATACAGTTCAGCTGCAGTGACAAATTCAGTTTGGTAAGCACAGGCTAAGTATATCCTGTGGAGCAAAGGAAAAAAAAAAAAGACCATTTTTTTTCCCAGTAGGATCAGCTGAAATAGAAATTATTGGGGGTGGGGGAGGGGAGGGAGGGAAGAGATCATTATTTACTAGAAGTTAGAAATATAGTTCAGGATTTAATGTTATATAGACAAATGATCTGAAATGTTTGAGATTTACTTACTAAAGATGGCCTGATCCTATGGATATTTGGCAATATAGCTTGCCCTGTTTCAGAGGTTGAGGTTATTAGTACGTTATGCTACTTGTTATTAAGAGAACTGAAGTACTGGATTGCGGTTAGTTCTGAAAATGTGTACTTTACTGAGTACTTTTAGAAAGCCTATCTTTTCTCAATGACTTAGATTTAGCAAAATCTAAGTTTTATTCTATATAAAGAAACAAGGTCGGTACCTGAGAGAGAGATACTAAGATCCATTCCTGTATCTCTGCTGCATATCATTTTCTGTGCTTTCAGACAAAGCTTTCTCTTGCAAATCTCATAGCAGCCCCAGAATTTTCAAGTGATTCTTTTTATTATTTGTATCTGAAATTGACTGTAGAGTTTTGTGAGATACATTTATTTTCAGAATTGTCTGTATGGCGAACAAATATTGACAAAGATGAGTGATCTTGCCACAATTTTCGTAACAGTACATTAAAATTATTAATCATTGTAGAAGTTGGTACTTGAATTATAAAAAGAAAAATTATGCACGTCTGATTTTTGAAGCTCTTTTTTATGATTATTTATTTTCTTGTTCTTTATATAATTGAAATGTTGACAGTTCCATAAACAGTTTTACATGGTTGTGCTGTTTGTGGTAATAATCTATCTTTGAATTCGTATACCAAAAGTTGGACAGAAATAAATGTCATTATCATTGTTTTTCTGTGAAAACAAGAGGATGCTTTTTCTGTCTTTCTGTCTTTCTCATTTCATGTACCTTAAGAGTTGGCAATATGATTCTTTAGTAAAGATCAAAAAAGCATTAGTAGCTTGGACCTCATCTATAATTTTTTTTTTTTTTTTTCTGTATGTTTATACTGTACTTCGGTAATTCAGTATAATTTTTTGGTGTTACATTCCCTGTTCTGCAAAGGATAATGTAAGCCCTGGTCTCTAAAATAAACATTAAAAGTTGTCTTCATATGAGCAAAATAAATGATAGCATGTCTGTAATTTGTTGCTTCTGATATATCATGTGAATGTGTATGTATATGTGATGTATAAGGTACACTATATATATTTTATTGACTTCCTGTAAGTTGTTCAGTTAACTGACTCGTGATGGTAGTGCAGAAAGATGAGAAAGAAAAGCTTGCTAAACTTATTATATAGACACATAGAGACTTGTGGAAAACTGGTAGGGTAATCCTTCTGGATCCTGAAACTCAACAGTTTGCTCTCCAAGACAGAAGATAACTGAAAGTTGAAGATAGGGACGTACTATTACGGGTATAACATGTAGAGTGTTATATGATCTGGAATCAGCAGTGGAAAATTTGAGGTTAAAGTAAAAAGGAGAAGAATTATTTTCCCCATATCTTCTCCCTAAATTCTAAGTCTCATGTACAGCAGTAATTACAGAGAGCTTTCTGGGTAAGAGAAGGTACTTAACAGCTACAGAGCAGTAAGGCAGAAGCTAGCTTGAAGGAAGTGCTGGAAATAAGAATGGAAGACTAAAATTATTGTAGCAGCAATACTGAGGCATATTCACTTAATAAGAAATGGGAGGTTAGGAATCACATGAGAAAATTTTGATGAAAGGGAATTGAAACTCTTTTTTAGCAGTATGAAATACATCAGTTTTGGAAATGTAGGAAGATTTGATTTGCATTTGGTGAATAGAGCAATAGTGATAGAATATACATTGCAGGTTTGCCAGATTACTGAACTGTTGACCTCTCTTACCTCACCATTCTTTGTATCTTCTGCTTATATTACTTTCTATGTAATCTTCTGCCATTGCTGCTGTTACGGTTCTGCTACTTTTTCCTTTGAACACCTCCAGTGGTTCCCAGTCTCATGTCTTGGCATTCAATCAACTATCTATCTCCTTTACGTTCCTATATAAATCTCTCCCTGCTATTGTTATTTACTTGTCATGTTTTACTCTACGCTGCCTCATGTTGTCGTTACTTTTTACCTTTTTTTCCCTCTACCACACAAATACCTCTATGTCTTACTTTTGTTACATAACATTACTTTTAACAGTCCTTAAAAAAACAAACAAAAATTATCCTTTTAAGGGATCTATCGTGATTTTTGTTTGTTCGCTTGGTTTTGAGTTTAAGACTAATTGACCTGCTTTTCTGACAACTGATTACTTATTTGCCTGTTCTTTTCCAAACTATATGACCGATACCTCTGGTCACAATTTGCTTTACTTGCATTTCTGGAAAGTGCTAGTTCTTTCTGAACTCTACTGAAAAAAATAATAGTAATTTTAGAAAATAACAACACTTTAGAATATACCCCTTGTCATTTTAATCCACTGTTTATTCATCCTTTGAAAAATGCTAATCACTTAGGTGTGCTAACAGAGCTTTTAGGTAAATCAAGTGATAAATCACTCTGTCCTTAAGTATACTTTAAATCAACTTTATGCTAATGTGACTAGGATAAATTTTGAGAATGTTTTTGTTAAGGATTAGTTCAGTATTTGTAAAGTTTCACTTGTTAGGCGCAGCTGAATTTTAGAAAGATAGATATTTTTGCGAGCTCTACTTAGTTGCATTTTGTATTTTGTCATCTCTGTGTTCATTAGGTAAATATATATATATATATATATATTTTTTTTTTTTTTCTTTCAGTTAATATCATATCCTATTCTTCCCTGGGAAGTATCTACACTGCGCCCTAAATGAAAGTGTGGTGAAGAAGTCTGTCATAAGACATACTTTTTTTTAGCCTTGGGGTTGCTGGCAGTTTGTCTGTAGAAAGGGGCAGCGATGGATGGAAGTCAGTGGCCTGTCCTGTAGCCGTCATTTGAGAGGGTTCTCTGATTAGCATGGAAAAAGCTGTAGTTTAAGGATGAATTTGAACCCATTTCTGTAGATTCAAACGGAGAGGGGTTCAAATCTGCAGATATACTGTGGATACTTAACTGAGGCTTTTTATCAAAAGCATCTTAAACCATTCTTGTTCACCAGTCTGTTCCAAAGTTCAGCACTCAGAGGAAGAAGCGTTAATTTCCAAACTGCTAAGTTGAGTATATTGAAGGAAAGGGAATTGGCTATTCAGTCTGTGACATTTTCCAAGTAGTGAGATGAAATTCTTACTGGACAAAAGGGTAGAAACTTAGTATCATACAGATAGGAAAAGTAAGGAGAGACAAAACAGTAATAACTGTATAATATGACCAACCCTCAAATAAGTTGAGGTATCTAAGAAAGTTCAGTACCTGTGAGTGGATATTTTTTGGAATGGAATAGGAACTAGTTTTTCATCCAGCATAAGCATAATACACTTATTCTCCCACTTTTCAAATGCATTTCTAAGTTTTTTACAGTCATTTCACATGACAGTATTTTTCTTTAATTAGTTCATTTGTTTAATTTTTGAGTATTTTAAAAACTTCAATTTTTTCGCTTCCCACTTATTGTCTTATTGGACAGTAAGTGCCGCTTTTTGTTCAGATACAGGTCTATATTAAGCAAGCATGTTGGGGTTTCAGCAACTGATCAATTTAAAAGCTTTACACTCAAGAGAAGGATGCTACTCCATATTGCCCCCAAAGTTGTCATGGGGTCAACATCAGATGCCTACAACCTTTTTCCTCGTTAGGGCCTATTGTGAAATGTTAGATTTTTCCAAGCCAGCGTAGAAACTGCCACCAACTCCAACAGGGCCAGTATTTTATCTTTTGTGTTAAAGGAAGTTTGCAATATTTCCAGTAAGTTGCTGAAAATGATACAAAAGCCAAAAAGACTACTAATAAAATGCCTGCTAATAAAACCATTTGTAGTCCAAAGTGTCTTCATCACTGTTTTGTAGAAATCCATGCCTCATTAACTTACTCCCAAATCATTTGCCAAATAATTGTGAAATAGTTAGGGAACCTCTAACCCAACCTAACACAAAAACAGAATGACTGCTGCCTCCATGCAGAAACTGCAGTCATCAGCTGAGCTATGTGATTTTTTTCTCAAACATCCTGCCACTAAACCATCATTACTGTTAAGAGCATGATAAACGTGAGCACATCCATCCAGAGGCTGGTATATTTTATTTCTATAGGAAAGATATAGACAGCACATGTGAATATACTGGTACGGTGCATGTGTTTATTCTGGTTATATTATGAGTTTCAGTGGGGATCCATCTTCTATACAGTGATAAATATAAAATGCTATTTTTCTGATACAATAATGATATTCTGACTTGTATTTTTTTTTAAATACTTTAAAGGTGACACAGGAGAAGTTATAGAAATTCTCACTTTTTGTTCTCCGAATACAATAAAAATTCCTTTATAATTTGAAAATTTGTACCAGTGTTCAGATGAGATATTTTAATGAAAGCGAGAGGCCAATGGCATCCCCAGTGTGTTTTAGAAAAAAGCAATTTGTTGCAGTTCTGTCTCATTAAGTTGAATTTATTTTGACTTTTGGCAAACCCGTCAAGAAAGTGAAGGGCAAAGAAACAGTAAGTAATAACAATGAGAACTGGGAAGCCAAAGACAGCCTCAGGGCCTACAACGCCCCAGATTTTTTTCTTGGCAAACATTTGGGATGAATTATCAAGAACAAAGTATTTTTTGTGTATATGTTTAGTTTTTGTTTTGTATTTTTTCCTAATATATAGTTGAAAACTGTCTTCATGTGTCAACTTAATTCTTCTTTTCCACCTCCATGTAGCTCTTGTTTGTGTACTAATATTACTGATTGTTTCTTGTTTCAGCTATTTGTACAAGAATGAAATCCAGTCAATTGACAGGCAAGCATTTAAAGGACTTGCCTCTCTAGAACAACTGTAAGTGCCTTTTCTCTTCTGTGCTGTCCTCCATGGTTCCCTTGCAGAGGAAAAGTGCACGCCTTGAACAGTGCATTCTGCCTGCATGCTTTGCATGTCTGCACTCAATGGGTTGTTAGTCACGTAGTCCTGTAATCATTTGCATGTGAAAAAACCAAAAATGATCTCTATGTCAAATTCCTCATTTCTGTGTTTGTCTTTTATTTGTGATTTGCATTCCCACTGCCCTTATACATTACAAAATAGCTTTTGAAGAAGGAGCAAAATCATGGAAAATGTTGAACAGCAATGTGTATCGCTAAGATATACACATATACGCTTGCAATGTATAATGCTGCAATTCCTTCGACTGCAGCAGTTATTTTGTTTTATGACAGCATAACTAAAGCTGAATTAGCCTCTTGAATTCAATATTCTTTTAAAACAAGAATAGATTTTAAAATGAAAATATTACTCTTATTGATACGTGTTAATGTTAATGTACCTGTTAATCATTGCCATATACAGATATTTAAAAAGTAAGAAAATTCAGTGTTTGTAATGTAGATATTTCAGTAATCTGTCTTCTAAAAAGATTGTTTAAAATCTTATTCCTTTTTCTGTGTAAATGCTGAAGTTTAATATCTGTTGCAAATGAATGAAAAATGCAGTCAATAGCATGACAAAAACTGATTGTATTGATTCCATTAAGTTTGACTATGTTTTATTTTATAATTAGAAAGCATCGCTATACATTCATTGTGGTAATGCTTAGAAACATGCATAATCCTGTAAATACATAGGTATTTCACAGTCTGAAATTTAAATGCCAGAGTGATGAGTTCAGTAGCATATAAATCTGGGAGGGTGGCAGCAGCTTTGTTCCAGGCCTAATACAAATTTTGAAACTCTTGACAGTTATCAGTATATTACAATTTTTTATTACATGTATCAGCTTCCATGTTACTATAAGACCAAGTGGACATTAGTGGACATAGTGTGCTGTGTATTTGAAATAAAACAACACTTCAGAAAGTGTACCAAATCATAGAAGCTCATTTTAGAAGGACATAGATGCCTTTTGAAGGAAGAACTTCTACACAAAACATAAATGATAACTGTAAAACATATATAAAATTGTCATTTCTCTCCCTAATGCCTTTCTCTTCCTCTTCCTCCTACTCTAGAAATGGTTACTGCAGCATATTGACAGCAACTGGTAGGGCTTACTTGCATGGTAATAGCAAGTCTTATTTTTTGTGAAGAATTTTAAATATTGAAGTCCATTTATTGAGTTGCCATGCTTCCAAAATAATATTATTTCACATATCCCAAGCCTGATATGCTGCAAGTGGAAACAGGTGGACTTTTTTTCTTGTGCTGTGTTTCTTGCTGATCTGTATTATGAGTGAAAGAAATGAAACGCTTGAGAATAGTAACGCATTCTTTATGTAGTTTTCCACTAGGTCTCACTTAAGCCTCTTTGGCCTTCAGTAGTATTACACAGTATCAACTTAAGCTCTAACTCAAAACATCATTATTATTCCATATAAAATTAAGTTTTAAACAAAGTTTGAGTTTCATCTCTAGTGGTAAAGTATGGAAATAGAGCCTGACACAGCTGCTGCTCAGTGGCTGCCCTTGAATAGCTGCATCGGTTGCCGCAAGCAGAGCATACATACAGCTGCTCTGTTGAGCTGCCTCAGAGAATGGCTGTCCTGTTAGATATGAATTATAAAGCTTTATATTATTATAAAGTTCTTTTGCTTTTTGTTTTTTAAGAATCCTTTCATAGGTAAATCTTAAAAAGAAGGCTCAGCAGATGGGAAAATGTGAGCACAGGAAACCAGGGGCTGGCCTGGAAATAAGTATAATAGAGAGTATCCATTAAGATTTGTACTTTATGGAGAAAGATAGGCGTCTTTTATAGTAAAGTAGGGTCTGACTCTACAGGGTCTATTTCATCCTCGGAGAGAGACCGTTCACAGGACAAAACTTACTCTTTGTGAATGCATCCTAAATGCTCTAATTTCAGTTAGGGCCATATCAGCTATTTGGTATGATGTTTCTGTGTTGGAAGCTTCTGTGGCCTTGAGTTATTAAACACATTTTGCTACATGGATTTTGTGACTTTCTCAAACGTTTTCTCATTACTCTCTATAGTTCTTAGAGGGAAAGTTATAGGTCAACCTCTAAAGGGAGCATATGATTCATAATATTTTTTTATATTTAAATGAAACAGAATGAAACTAGTAATTGTGGTTTTTTTTTTAACTTAACATCATAACAAATACTTTTCAGTTGTTTTTTTTTTCCCCATTATACCCATTCTTGAGTTACAGTAATGGGAGAGACGCTGTAAATACGGTTTACTTTAAGAGCACGGTTGCATATATAAGGGATGAAAAAGAACAGCAGCAGCGAATAGTGCTGTTACTGGGCAGTATCCTGCTTTAAGCTCTGTGACAGAGTTCTGAACTGCTGATGTGGTAGAAGTATCTTTTTCTTCTGAAATTTCTGCCAAGAGAGTAAGAAAGATCATTGAATCAGATTTTGAAACTCGCTTGTGCTCGAGTAAATGCTGAAACACTTGGCAGCTTTAGATACTCAAACAGACTGAGGACTTTAGCCATGTCTGTTTCGTCACCTAAATATTCAGTCATGGCAAATCATGAAGGGAGCAAGTCAGTTGATTAAAAATAACCACTTCTACGGGGTCTAAACCAGTAGTAGGACATGTGTTTGGGGCTGGCAAAGATGACACAAACTGCAGGGAACTTGCATTCTTTCAGAGCAGCAGCTGGAAGCCGGCCAGAGCACCCACGAGCATCTAAAACTGCCTCTGTTGGCCTGTGTTCAGGCAACTGAATCCCACCTGCAATGTCACAAATACTTGGCTTGGGAAGCCACAGGTATTTTGTGTTTGGATCCCAGAAACTGCACTGTAAATTCAGTGTATTTAAAGATGCATGTATTTATGAAGCTTTTCTTCCAAGTAGCTACTATATTTTTGGGATCTCGGCTTAAGAACGTTTCATGTTCTAGGGACAAAGGACTGCTTTCTCTGCAGTCCTTAACTAATAAGAGCCCCAAATAGTAATCAAATTATTCAATTTTATCTCTGCACCTAATTTTAGCGGAATACTAATAATACATTTTCTTTTAACTTTCGTATTAACATATTAATTGTGCTCGTCGTAAACTGTTATAAGAATTTTACTGTAGTTTACGTACATATATGCACGTGTATTTGGGGAAATGACTGCATAGTAACATGTTCTCTTACAGTGATGCAGCTTCTTATATTCATTTTATTTATTTTCCTTAATTCAATTTTCAGTAGCTTTGAAATGTTAACATAAATTTTTCAATCTTTTTGTTAGGAAGAGTTCCCATTTGTTGCATTAATATATGTGTGTACGTGCAGAGCCTGTGTGAGCACTTGAAATCTCATTGCATTGCTAGAATTACTTATAGGGAGGAATAATGAATGAGAATAAAATAAAATAGAACAAAAACCAAAGGAGCCTTGCAAAGTGCAATGTATCTCTATTATTCTGAAATAAGATCAGCCGGGGTCAACCAACGTAAACGACTGGAAACAGACATTTATCTAGCCTTATTTAAAAAGCCTTGAAAGAGAGGATTCTGTAATCTCCCTAAGCATCCTGTTCCAGTACTTTAAATCATTATTGTTATGTCTAATCTAAATCTCCTTCCTTGTGGTTTAAGCCTGTTAATTCTTGTCATACCCCTGGGCATGGAAAGTTCTTTGATAAATGTAGGAAGAATCTGTTCGTTCATTCGCTTTCAAATAATAAAAATGCCAAACAAACTATTTAAGTACATAGACTGTACTCTACTAATGAATTTTAAGTAGTTTCAAAGATGGGGAGTTATTATTAGAAATGAACAATTGGTATATATGTTAAAAGTAATCCTCAATAAAAATGTTGTGCTACAGAAGATATAAACCTAAATTTAGTGCTGTGAAACAAGACAAATGCCACTAGGAGTGACTTTTGCCTTACATACTCATCCTCCAGGGTTAAAAATAAGAAAGAGAAAATCTGTACCCTGCTTGTTTGATCAAACATTTATCTTCCTCTTGATGTGTTTGTTTTGAATTTTTTTTTCCTATAGCTGTATTCTTTACTCTGTTTCCTGCTTGACAATGAATTCTGAGTCAAAAAAGGGGGACACAAGGGTCCCTTAGAATCATTTTTGCATGTTTTTTTGAAAATCTTCTTTAATATCAATTTCATTACATCATACTGCTTTTTTTAAGAGTCTATAATACTCTGAACATAAAAGATTATCTATAAAGACATGCCAGCATGAGGTACTTCTTGAGTATACTTTTTGGATGAATTTTCAATCCAAGAAGTTCTTATATTAATTACAGTCTTAAAGATCCTTTAAAGGATCTGTATGTGACTCATGCAAGAAAAGGATGTAAGCCGTAAACTTAAGTGATAACATGTGATTAAAGCTCAGGTCACAGCACCAGTAATTTTTACAAACCAATCTGGGTTCTTCACCGCTTTTTTGAACTGCCCTTGCTGCTAATGATTTTGTGCACATATTTAACACCTTATTGTGTTCCTGAGTTGCCTGAGAAATTAGAACTTTTTTGAGCTTGTAGTTTAAAAACGGACAAATCCCAACGAACTAATCATATCAAGCAGTTAAGAATAGTTCACAGTTGGACTTCATTATTTGATTTTTGAGCTTCTTTAGGCAGCATGGTCTCTGATGAGGTAAAATAACTTTTATAATGTGCTTTAATGCCTGAATTACTGTTGTGATCATCTGAGATTACAAACAAAATGAGATTTATAACAGAAGTATTGTTTTAATTAGATTGATTAGTGTGGGTGGAAAAAACAGGTGAGTGTTCAGGCACAATAAGCCATTCTTTATGTCTGAAATTAAAGCAGTGGATTTGAACACTAAATAGCAATTTTGAGCTGATGCTTAGAGTTAATTAGGTATACATCACTTAAACTGACTGAGAGATGTGCTCACCCTTTTCTCTGTCTTTGCTAATCTCACCTCTGATCCGTGGTCCAAAAGAAGGGATTGTGTGCCTGAAAGCTTGTTGGTTTTTCCCAGCCCTGTTGGTATAGCAAGTGGTATTACCTGCGCTAGCCTTCTCAATGCCAAAGAAATATGAGCAATTCTTAGGAGGCTTAATTGTTTGAGAAGATAAGGAGACTACTTTGGTGAAGTATTTGTGGTTGATAAAAATGCAAGAAATAAGTAACTACATTAAAAAGGAAAGAAAACCTGCTGCGCAAGAAGAAATGGTGTATGTAATTATTTCCAAAAGGAAAGCTGCTTCAGAAGAAGCTGTGAACCCTAGGTTGTGTCTGTTTTTTCTCTATGTGCTCTTTTCTCTCACTGCAGTGATCCCTGTGTTACCTTTTCCCCCCTCCCAAACGTCCCCCAGGACTTGTTGATGCTGGGGACAAGGGAGAGGAGCGCTGCGGCTCCTCGGGAGCTGTGCTCGTGCTGACTGCATGGCTGGGGCTTGCCCAAAGGGATAAATAATGCCTCAGCCCTGCTAGTCTTTTCCTCAGGGCTGGATCTAGCTGTGGTCTCCTTTCTCTCTGCTGTCAATTCTAATGAAACTTGCGGGAAGAAACTGCCTTTGAGACGTCTTTGAAATTTAGTTGAAATTGGCCTGCAGTTTTGAAAGGGAGACGATGCGTACACAGCATGATTATGCATTTTTTGTGTCCTTATAAAAACAGGATCAGAATCTATTTTTGTTATGATTTATCACAGAAATGGCCACAAATTGTCTTGGCAGTAAGCAGACTTGACGTTTGGATGTGTCTGATCACATTCGTGCTGATTTACTGGCTTTTTCTGTGTTCCCCATCGATTGCTTACTGGCATCGCTTACCGGTTTGCGCTTTCTCCATACTGTTAGTGGGGGAACTAGTGGATTGCCAGGCACGTGCCTGGCCTCACAGCTGCATGCACCTTCCAGAGCTGTGAATAACGAGTTTCTAAGGTAATCTCTGCTTGCTCCTGCTTTCCTTTGTCTGTGGCAACCATTTAGCTCAGGTCAGGGATTAAAATACGTGCAGCATTTCAGTGCAAGGGAGTTCCTCTATCCTCCTTACCTGTCATGTTGAGGGATTGATTTTTTTCAGGAGATTTTTGGGTCTGAGATTGTCTGTTTATTTTTAAGTGATGGGCTTTTTTATTCTTCAGCCCACTGCAACTTCTGTATATGCGAGTCCTTCTCCAGATGTTCCAGAGAATAAGTGAAGAGGTAGTGGTCAAAAAAGAAACTTTAGGAGGTTTGGATGCATTTGGATATAATCAAGATCCAAAGTCTATACATCATTTTCACAGTTCCTTGTCCAATTCTAATAATTACTTGTTGTTTTTTTTTCTCTGTAAAGTTACGGAATACCTACTCAACATAGTTGACTCAGCTAGTTGACTCAACATAGATTAGTATGAGCCTGACCTTGCAATCCTTATCTATGATTAATGCATTGTCACAGCAGTTACAGAGTAATAATCTGAATAATTACCTTGTTATCTCAGACTTTTCCAGTCTTACAGGATTCATAGCTGTATAATATTAATAGCTTACACACGCATCAACAAACCATCAAATAGAACACAGCTGAGATGGCTCACCATACTGAGATGGCATACCATCACTGAAAAGTCCTTTGTCTAAGAATGGTTCTAGCAAAATAAACCTGGTTTATGTTACAGATTTTTGTATCTATAGCTTTTGTAAGCTTTCATAGCTTTAAATGCCAGACTATATGGACTAGAGGAGATAACTCCTTGGAATCTTTTAAAATTTTCACTCAAGTGTGATGATACCAAAAACATTTGCCAACAGAAAGTGCTATTCTACTGGAAACGCTAAATATATTATAACCAACCTGCAAGATTTTCCTGTAAAAATCATAATTTTATTTTTTCACATATATTTATTCACATGTGCACACTAATACAAACTGGAGTTGACAAAAGAGTGTTCAAAATACTGGTAGCTCCAAAATCTCCAAAATAACATTCTTGAAACAATTATTTGACATGTATATGTCTGCACCCGTACACACGCTGATTAAATGTACAATGGTCTGTAAGGTCTTCTTGTCGGGTCCTGTATCTCCCATATAAAAGCACAAGATTCAGATGATATCGAAAGAAAGTTATGCCACTGCATCATTAGCTTTCAGTCATTTAGATGTGTTAGCAACATCAAAATGCTTTGTAATATTTCAGCTTCCTTAAATAAACTGTTTCAGTATTTTTCTTTTTGTTTAACATATTTTCAGGTATCTGCACTTTAATCAAATAGAAACGTTGGAACCTGAATCCTTTACCCATCTTCCAAAACTTGAAAGGCTGTAAGTTTGTTTATCTTGGGGTAAGATGCAGAAGAGTCAGCTTGCCTCTTTATTTGAATTAGATCATATATTTGAAACTGGAAAATAATATTCTTATCTTTCCTGTAGATGATTTTTAATCCAACATTGTAATTGTAACTACTAAGTAGTCTTTGTCAAGGAGACCTTGGTCAGGCCTGCCTTAGGCACATGCAGAAGTAAACGTTATTTGGGGTATAGTCTTCTGTTACAAAACCGTTTGACAAGGAGTTTTGATTGATGTTTGGCCTAAAATATGTTATGAATTCAAAAGTAGGAGATTTATATTGTGACTTTTTTTTTTTAATTGCTCATTTGGATGCATACAAATCCCCTCTTTTTTGATTGCTTTATCACTTTCTGGCTTCCTTTTTTCCTACATGGACACATGAAATACACCTTGGAAGCCATTTGAAAAATAGCAGCCAATGAGTTATTGAAGAAAAATTATCTTTTTTTTTTTTTTTGGTAAAATTACTTTCTCTTTAAGGAATTTCAGAAGAATGTAAATGGAATGAGAGCATTGCATTACATTATTACCTGCATCTTTCTGTGCTTTTTAACAGATTTTTGCATAACAACAGAATAGCTCATTTGATTCCTGGAACATTTAGTCACTTAGAATCTATGAAGAGACTGTAAGTAACATGAAATATTATTGAACTAAAAAGAAAAAGTTAAAATAGTCTCATGCTGTATCTCTTCTTGTAGCGTTTACCTTCCTTGTCAATGGTTTTCACTGTGTAATTGTTCTAAATGTTACAAAAATTTTCCTTAGCCGAGCTGTAGTTGTTTATTTACATAGATTCAGACCGTTGCTTCCTGTCCAACCGTCTTTAGTGACTAAGTCCTTTTGTTTGTTTCCTGTCTTGGAATTATTTGTAGTCTTATGGTCTTGTTCATTATGAATCCATTATTTTGTAGACTAAATAATATATGCAGCTCGTTGATTTTTTTTCTCTTGTCTATGTACTGGATGATCCTTTTAATGATCTCTTTCAATAATTGATTATCTTACTATTTTCTTTGATTTTTTTTCTTATCTTTATTTGAATATAAAATTTTCAGAGGTGCTCAGTGGTTTAGGAATGTACATGTTATTTTCAAAAGCAGCTCCACAGGTCAGTTCTTAAAATGCCATTCATTTGGAAAATTTGTATGCAGTCTTCTTAATCCCAGAGTAGCATATGAAAAGTTTAACTTGAATCTGACAGAGTATTAGTAGTGCCATGATAAGGTTACTTTCAGAGGCTTTTCTGTCATGGACTTTGAACCTCCACTGATCTAGGGTAAACGTTCATGATGAACTTTTAATTTAAGAATATCATTTCTAGCAGAGGCAGTCCTATCCTTATGTCTAGTCACACTTTCATACCCCACTTTGCGAGGACTGTTGAGGGTGTGCTGTGCAGTGAGTCATAACACTAACTCTACAGGGAGAAAGCTCATAAAGGAAATAACAGGAAGTTGTTCCTGTGACAGTGCTGATTGAGGACAATTGAGCCAGTTGTGAAACTATGCCTTTATTTGTGGAGGAAAGGAAGAACAGAATAAATTTGAATGATGTATGCACCTTCCAGTCATAGGTACTTCACTCATACAGCCTTTAAAATCCTTTGGAGCTCAAAAAGTTAACTACCTCAATGATATACCAAACTGAAGAAGTTCCGTTATCATACAACTGTACCTCCACATAGATATGTTCAATGCATAGGGACAGGTTTCTGTAAAATTATTTTTTTCCACAGGGCCCTCCACTACAAAGTCCAGTGCCCTACATAATATCAGGGACCATCACTACTGGAATGGAAGTCAAAAGAATTTATGGGTGCTCATCTCCAATAGGCAGGTGCTTTAGGAAGTTATTGGCCCACTGAATACAATGGGAGCTTAATGTTTAAATGAAACTGTAGGTGTTTGTCTCAGTAGCCTAACTGGCAAAATGGAAAATTAAAAAAATCTTGAGTTAGCTATGAAGTTAATATAGTAATAAATTTTAAACGGAAAAAAAATGTAGAGAAATGAAGTATGTTCCTTATTTAAGCAAGGCTTGTATAACATCTAAATAAAATCTTGATTCTACACTAAACTCTTGAGATTAAAAAAGAAGCATTGAGTAGATCCTTGCTGTGTATGTATGTAATTTTGTAATAAAGGCTTAATGTGTATAAACCAGTGACCATCAACTATATTCAAAATTATTCTTTATCTGTATTCACAGATAAAGGCACTGGTGGTATCGCAGAATCATTTCAATCCTAAGAAAATAGTTCCAGCTTTCTTACAGGTATTGTGGCTGCTTCTTGTTTTATGTAGGCGTTTAGATTCAAACGCTCTTCATTGCGACTGTGAAATCCTGTGGCTGGCAGAACTTTTGAAGACGTACGCGGAATCGGGTAACGCTCAAGCAGCAGCTACCTGTGAGTACCCGCGAAGGATCCAGGGAAGATCAGTGGCCACAATAACACCTGAAGAACTCAACTGTGGTGGGTTTACCACTTAGTGCTGGCTTTTTTAACGTGTTAAATATAGCCAAATCATACTTTGGTTAGAATTTGTTCTCCTGTTCTCTTTGTTAACATTGGCTACTGCTGGTTGATACTGATTCTAGAAATTTCCTCTCTGTTTCCTCCTTAGATTTTTGTCTACTTTTGACAGAATTGATCTTTTTTTCCCCTCAGCCAGTCTTCTATGTGACAAGGATGGTCATATTTGAAATTTGTCAATGAGACAACGTAGTAAACTAAAAATGATTATCCAGAAAGGGCTTATTTTTTCCTTTCAGATTTGACCACAAAAGGATTGTAAATTGTGATCTGTGGTAGTTTAAGTTAATATTGTTTGGTGTCCTGTATTCCCTTTTGTACAAAGAAAGAAACGTTACGGAATTGCTCCTAGTTTCACAGAACTTACCTTTAAAACTCTTGTTGACATTATTGGAATCAGGGTTAGGTCACTGGGTTTTTTTTTTTTTTCCCCTCAACTATCCCTGCAACAAATACTCTCCACGCAAACTGCAGTCGTCTATTCCTGAAGGATTAATGGATTATCACTTTTATTATAATGCTTTTGTGCTTCTATATTCCTTTAGCCTAGTAGGCTAAGTCGTGCAGCTGAGTGCAGTGCAGGCTGAGTCGTGCAGCTTCTTATGAAGGCACTCCAAGGCTTTGGACCCTGACACCTCTCCTGTTACAAAACCAGAATGCATGTTTCTCCCGTCATACGATGGGTGTTTGCCTGTCCAACCATGTGAGGAGGCCAAGGGATAAAATAACTGAGTTGTCCTTTTGGTCGTATATTGCATAAACCTGACCACAAGAATTATGACCGTAAGCATCTATGGGGTCTTTGAAAAAGATAATAGAAGGGGATTTGATATGAGAATAATTCACATGGCATGCTACCAGCTCTCTCTCCACATCTAAGGATCCTCAATATGGAAACTGCAGGGAGCAGGCTGGACAAATTATTCTGTAGGAGGTAGGTTAGGCACTGATCCTAATTTAGAGGAAGCTATTTTAAATGGCACTTGTGCTTGCTGCTTTAAAGTTTTTTCTTCATAAGCAAGTTGAGCCTTTGTTCAAATAAATAAAGCAGTTGTATTAGAACCTGACACAAATTTGCACAGTACATTTCCAGTCTGCTATAAGGTCTAAAAAAACAGTTGAGGAGGTCAGAAAGCCAGCAGTCACTTTTACATAGGGAAAAGTGTGTTTAATCCTGATTAAGCGTGTAAATATTTTAACTTAAAACATTTGTGGAAAAATATTTTTCTACAAGGTATATGGAAAACTTCTTATTTACAATTCTCTAGTAGTTTTAAGACAAGTAAGAGTTCCTTATATATTTTATTGTTGATACAGAGAGGCCAAGAATTACATCAGAGCCTCAGGATGTGGACGTTACCTCAGGGAATACAGTGTACTTCACTTGCAGAGCTGAAGGCAATCCTAAACCAGAAATTATCTGGCTTCGAAACAAGTACGTTTAAAAGAGGAAGAGAGAAACATGATGTATGTAGGTTTGTCTGGATGTGTGTACATTTCTAGGTGCATGCTAATACACATTAGATTGTCAAATATATGGAATACTGACATCAGAAACATATTATAATGAACACAAGTGTATTGAGTAATAATGACCCAGACTATTTTATTTGTAAATCTAAACTCTTACCAGCTGAAAACTTCATAAGGTATCATTTTATGGCTGTAATACTATTGGTAGAATTTTCAGCTGTAATTATACGTACACAGATGCGTACACAAGAAAAGCTGTAGATCATTTGTATGTAAGTATCAGGTAACACAACGTAGACATCTTGCATATACAGAGTTTGTGAATTTAGCTAGTGTTTGCCTATTCTGTCTAAGTCTAGTTTTATTATGTCTCTGGGCAGATCGATAGCTACTTGTTTAAAGGAATCCAGCTGGACAAGAGCTAGGTTTCGGAGTAGATCTTTCAGCCCCAGCTCTAGACCAGCAAGCTTTCCCCAGAAATGTAGCTTCATCCCAGAGCAAGGGAGGTATGTCATTGTCATTTTCCAGACTTCCCAGACTCATATATAGAGGGCAGGCAAGCTTATGTGTCATAGGATTATAGGGTAATTCAGGGTGGAAGGGAGCCCAGAAGATCTCTACTCCAAAGCAGGGTCAGCAATCGAGATCAGACGAGGTTGCGCAGGGCTTTACCCGGTCAGGTCTTGAAAACCTCCAAGGATGGAGAGTGCACAGCCTCTCTGGGGCAACCTGTTCCGCTGCTGCTTCTCGCTGCTGAGGGGTTGGAGAGGAGGCCTAGAAAAGACGTGTCTTTCAGGAGCCCACGGGCCAGCCCTGTGCTGGGTTGTTGCTAGAGCCCTGCCCAGAGCTCTGACTCCCTACAGCACTGCCAGGAACAGTGTGGCTTAGCCAGCTGCATGGCAGCAGTTCGCCTCCTCTAAACTTACCTGAGTTCATGATGGATACGTAATTTCTGAATTTACCATTAGCTTAATCACATATAGGCTTAATGATTCTTTTCTATAAATGGAGAAGTTGATCAGGAAAATGAATTTTCTCACATTCTATATTAGTAAATGAAATATTTCATATTTTATTTATTGATAAAAGGGAATGATGTAGAATCCTGGTTCTGCAGCTGTTGTGCTGATTTCAGTGAAAACTCCATGTGCAGCAAGAGTATAGACTTTATTATAGAGTTTGTAAAGTATAGAGACTCAAACTTGGATCATACACTTATTTCATTAAAATTTTCTTTGGCTCATACACTTTTTATAATAAACAAAGAAAACATGTATTCAGAATACACATATGAAAGAGTTTTAAGAGGAAATTTGAGCTTGGGGTGTGGAATTATTGACTCTGGCTTGTTTCCTGGCTGCATAAATGAGAGCAAAGCTCTTTGCAAGGTAGTTGAATGTGGCAAGATTTCAGTCAAAAGACATTGACCTGTTGAGCGGTATGTTGAATAGATCAGCAGTCACTCTGGGTTTTGTACATATGGGGCGATATCCTCATCCCTACTTTGTGCTTTTTTCATCAGGTAGTAAAGGCTGGAGTGAACAACTCTTCTTTTAATAAAAAATCCTAACTATATTTAGATAGTATCGCAGAAATGATGTGTCCATGACATAGGCTAAAGAACACAACTTATGTTCCAAGCAAGTACAAATTATAACCAGGTTCATTAGTGCTCCTTGAGCACTCTGGTCAGAGGAGGGCACAAAGATGGTTTTATAGCAACTAAACCCTCTCCTAGTGGAAAGTATCTTGAGTTTTGAGCTTACCCATTCTATATTTCCAGCTGAAATATTTGAAATTGATTTACCAGTTAGAACCGCTTGTATCCTTAAAAGAAAATGAGATTAGGTATGTGTATTTTGCTCTCCCCCCATAAGTTTTTACTCATAAAAGTATTCTGGCCTTTCATTTTGAAGATATAATGGTTACATAAGCAGAATTGGTTCTTTTTTTGTTTTTCCATTGCTTCTTTTCTTCAGAAAAAAACCTAAAAGTTCTATTATTTCATTTAACACAGTAAAACTTAATTTTTGCAAGTTATTCTGGTTAATATATTTAGGTTTTAAATTATTTTGACAGTTTTCTGGGCTTGTGATTTAAAGGTTTAACTCTAGCAGATTACTTTTCTTCACAGTAATGAGCTCAGTATGAAAGAAGATTCCCGTCTAAACTTGCTGGATGATGGCACGTTAATGATTCAAAATACGCAAGAAACAGACCAGGGTATTTACCAGTGCATGGCAAAAAACGTGGCTGGCGAAGTGAAAACTCAGGAAGTTACTCTTAGATACTTTGGGTCACCAGGTAAAGAATACAAAGTCTGAATTTTGTGTTCCGATGCAGAATTATTTTGACAGTAAGATTGCTAACCATAAGATGAGTTGGCTCTTGTGTGTTCTTGACATGTAGATTTCTTGTCCTTGGGCATCTTACTAACTAGATCATGAAGTTTTAATATCCCTAGAACAAAAACCAAAATCAACTAGTTAAATAATACTGTTTATTTTTTTAAGTAAATCTGATGAAAGTCATGTGGATTATTTGTAGAAGTGTATGAGGGATGGAAGAAGAGGCTATCGCATTGTTATGTTGCTCAGCGTGATAATATTCTCTCTGGGTATGTGAAATCTGTGAGCTCCAGTCACTCATGAAAGCTTTGGTACGCAGAAGGCAGTGGTGGCTGCAGAGGAATTTTTTAGGCTATGTATCTGTCTAGCAATGCTTCGTGTTTACAAATGCTAAATTCATGTCCGGAACTGTTTTTTTTTTTTTTTTAATTCTAAACTTTACTATCAATAAATTTTGTTTTTACGCTCATCACCAGTTAAATTTAAAATGTCACGGCAGCTTACACATTTAGTTAAGAAAAGCTACTAAAATGCAGTTTAATCGTTTTTTTTTCCTTTTGTGCACCTGGTAGCACTTACTAGTCACAGTTTATTTTCTGGGTCTCAATGCCTCTGTTTCTAAAAAGACCTTCATAAACATCAGCAGATGAGAAGAAAATGCTCTAAAATTGTTTTAAAAGGGATTTAATAAAAATATCGGTGCAATGGATATTCCTACAATTACAAGTATTAGGGTATATTTGTAAATTACTTTAAAAAAATTACATGAGGTGTTAATTTTAACTACTGATATTTTTAAATGTTTTCAAGCTAGATAAGGTTTAAAGTGAGGCAGAGTGTGCAAGATTAGAAGTATCTTGGAACAGACCTATTAAAAAGAATTAGATTCCCCCCAAAACTGTAATATTTAGCCACATCAGTGTTATGCCAACCAGGAGTTATATTAGGCATAATTATTTTCTCACAGCCCGGCCAAGTTTTGTGATTCACCCACAAAATACCGAGGTATTAGTTGGAGAAAGTGTTACTCTGGAATGCAGCGCAACTGGGCACCCTCAGCCACGAATTACATGGACCAAGGGCGACAGAACCCCTTTACCAAGTGACCCTCGCATCACAATAACTCCCTCAGGAGGACTTTACATACAAAATGTGAAGCAGGAAGACAGTGGCGAGTATACGTGTTTTGCAACTAACAGTATAGATAATATCCATGCAACTGCATACATCATAGTCCAAGGTGAGTGACATTAAACTGGGCATGGCATGCTGTAAAACACCATGACTTCCAATTGCATGGCTTTTGTTGTTTTTCTGAATTGTCATAGCCAAGTTGAAACCACAGGAATTTTTTTCTTTTAATTTTGTGTAGTCCAAGGCAATTTTGCAGTATATTTTTACCTAGAGTAGGATATTATATATAAATTCTCTGAAAGTTTAATCTTTTGGATTAACCTCAGAAGTTAATTATTTGTATTTTGTATTTTTTATTTCTGAAATTTTGTTTGCCTTTGTGAATAAACATGCGATGTACGTTTTTTGCGGAACTGAAATATATTCTGTAACAAGTAGCATTCTGAGCGATTAGAGTTTATGACTGGAGTACTTGCAGTGGAGTTTTAGGAGTAGATCTGTCTCGCCTCTCTTTTCTAGATACTTGAGTAAATATGGCTACATTTTCTGCAGAGCTGCATGGAAACTATCATTCTTCCAACTGAGGCGTTAGTATAGCTTTTCTGCAAAATGGAAACTGAAATACTGTGACTTAGTGTGATCACAATTATTTTGGTGTTGTTTGTCAGTAGTGTGCATATAAAGTATTTCAGGAATGACATATTGAAAAACCTCCAGTATATGTTGAATATTTCTGCAAATATTTCAAAGCTAGAACTTTTATTTTCCGAAGCTTTTGAGTACCTTTTAAATTTTATTTCTGTCCTCATATTAATGTCTGTATTTGCCAAACAATTTAGATTATAAATGCTCTGTCAATCAGTACAATTTTTCAAGCTACACAAAACAACCTGTCTGTGTGGTTTGTTCATTTATCATGTGTCAATGAGTGATAGCATTTTAAGAGCTGAACAAATTCCTGCTTACACTGATAACGCCATGATGTTACTGCAGAAACTGGCCTGCACTCTAATCATTGTTTTCCTTTTATATAAAGCAGAAAAAAAGCTACTTAGGCTGATTTTGCCTAATTACATTTTCTCCATAATTTAGCTGAGAGTTTTGTAGATTTTTGCTTGCTTGTTTGTTTTGAGGAAGAGATTTTACTTGATTTTACAGATGTTATGATACATCCTATTTTGGATCTATTAAAGTAGATTCAAGAGCTCTTAAGTGTCTTCAAGGTCATATTGTGCTAGGAGGTGTTCACGGCTTGTAAGAGACAAATCTGCGCATTTGTAATCTCTGCCCTGAAGAGATTACAATGTAAAAAAGCCATTAAGGTCCCGTTTCCCACAGATAGGAACTATTCAAGTCACATGTACAATTTTATGTAACTTCAGTCTGTCATGCATTTTTCATCTGTTTTTAAATGTTTTATTTTCTTCTCTGTAGCTCTACCTCAGTTTACTGTCACTCCTCAAGACAGAACAGTGATTGAGGGACAAACTGTTGACTTCCCTTGTGAAGCACAAGGCTATCCCCAGCCTGTTATTGCCTGGACGAAAGGAGGTAAGTTTGTTCTGTTTTTACTTTTAAATTAGTCATATACTTTAGTTTTTATTTTAGAATCACTCATGAATTGAAAGGGAGTATGTGTATATGTGTTATATTGTTTTAGATGCTTCCATCCCTGTTGAAGGAGACAGGGTTCCTCTTACTCTGCTTCAACTAGAAAAATCAAGATGTCCAACAGTAGCTAGTTGCCCAAGTTTGTCATGTATTCAGTAAAAGGAGTCAACAACATATCTGTCTCCATAATAGATTCCTAGTAATGAATATTTAAGAGATGTGAGACAAATCACATGTGGCAATACCTATCACTGCCCGTTTAGTACAAAAGAAATCTAGCTGACCGTCGTTAGTTGGAGAACTGAAGTTACGTGAGGTGAATCTGTCCTCTGTGCTCTCTTCAGAAGCCAGATTAGTCTAAACTGTAACTAGCGTCATTATGATTTCTGTACAACGCATTCCTTTCACTCAGCGTAGATTGGCAGGAACCTTGGGATCCACTCCTCTGACTGCTTTATCAGATTGGGGCTGTGAAGACATTAAGCCAAATACAGTGGTAAGATATACTGTAGTGGATGTTTTATCAGTAAACAGATATTCCAGTTGGACCAAATGAAATAGCTCTAGTGGGCGAACCAACCATTAAGAAATTATGAATTATGTTAGATAAAGCAGATTTTTAACAAACACGTTATCATTTTGATGCTGGTAATGTCCCTGTTTCTCCCTTTACCAGGGTTGCTCCAATCAAATGGAATGTCCAGAGAGGAAGAAAAGGGCGCACACACTGTTGTGCCTTTTATTTCTTTTTACTATGTTACATTGCAATTTTTCAGGGTTGAATATGTTTTTCTATTGGTTCTCTAGATGGCAGATATGGTGAATTGTGAATGTATTACTATGTGGTAATATAACAGTAATGCCTGTTGGCATTCTTCTTATGGTGCCTTGTTGTTGGGATGCTTTATCATGCTCCTTAAATGAAAATATCTATTTCTACCACAAAAATAGAAGTGGAAAAGATCAGGAATATGTCCTGTGTGCATATGCTTATGTGTGTGTGTGTGAGTTCATATATGTAAAGGTTTTTAACTCTTTTTTTCCTTTTTGAGATACTTCTAATTTTGCCAATGTTTTATCAAATTATAGATTTTTCTAGATTTCCCTTTTTCTGAAATAGACTATTTTATTTTGTACTGGTATAAAAAGCAAATATTATTGTGTTTCAGGAGGCCAGTTGTCTGTTGACAGAAGACATTTAGTTCTGTCCTCTGGAACCTTAAGGATTTCCAGGGTTGCTCTGCATGATCAGGGACAATACGAATGCCAAGCTGTCAATATTATAGGATCTCAACAAACTGTTGTATACCTGACAGTGCAGCCTAGAGGTATGTTCTCCATGTACATATTTACAGCTGCTGAAAAAGTCAGATTTAAGCTTAGGCTAAAATATTCAATATTGTGCTTGATTTATTCTTTTCTTTTTGTAAAATGAAAAAATCGTAATTAATGGTATTAAATCTTTAATTTTAAGGGCATTATATTATATGTGAATATGAAGTAAGCTAGATTTGTCTTTGTTTAGAGTTAGAAAAGCTTTTGGGAAAGGTCTTGGATAGTGCATGGATTTTTCTTAATCTTTTCTGAATGTTACAATAATTTCTAGGCTGGTGTTTTTGAATTATAAGGTATCTTATAATTTGTTTTATAAATTGTGCATGTTGGACAATATGCCCTGTTTATAATCAAGGCACTTAGAGGCTACTCCTAAGCATGATCTTTTTTTTTTTTTTTGATAAAAGCTTCTTAGAATAGCACTATATCTTTTGTCATTTAGGAAACTTGCTATCAAGGGCAGTACTAACATTTGACATTTCTGGTTGATACTTCTGACTACATCCATTTCTAGCTTTGAGGTGTTTTTAATAAATAACATATATGGATGCTTTTCAGTATTTGTGCAGGGTACCATTCCTTTAAAGCAGTCTGTTTTCTGTGAAAGAGTTTTATCTGATTTGCTGTTTTTTGTAAAGAATGGAGGCTTGCTTTGTGGGTGATTGCGTTATCATCTTTAGGAAAGTATTTTGTTTTCTGAAAATATTGCCTTTTTTTTTTCTGTGTGTATTTATAGTAATTTCTTATAAAACTATATGCAGTTAATTAGATAATACAGTTAACATAATGTTTTGCTGGGCAGAACAGAAACCTCTATTTTAAAACAGCAGAATGACCTTCACAATGAAATGTCTATCCTTATACTTTAAATAAACTAACACCGAAAAAAGTCCACCCCATTGTTCTTATGTTTTTCTCCATATTAATTATGAATAGGCTACTTTTAGGATTAAATAGAATCATGTTAGTAGTTATACTTTACTTAAACCTTTGATTGAAAACGTTTCTTGTTAGTGACCTCAGTTAGAACAGTATTTCAATACAAGGGGATCGTATTTAATCTCCCTGAGCTTATTTTTTTGTCAACGTTTTTCCATTGATTTCTGTTAGTTAAGAGTAATACTGGCCTTAAGGGAGATTAATCTGTTAAAGAATAGATTTTGTTCACCAATATAAAACTTTTAACTAAAATTCGGTAAAATGAATCTTGATTTTATAAAATTTTATAGTCCTCTGGCTGAGTTAAACTTCACTAAACATGAATAAAGATTGATAAAATCTGTGTAACTCAGGTTGCAAACTCCAGCTAAAGGTAGGAAATACAAGACTGAAGGTTTGATATACATCTTGAATTTAGATTTCTCCCTACATTCATTGCAATGTTATTTACAATTGTGTAATAAAGGAAAAATGGGCTCCAACAGAAGAATAACTAGCAGAAAAACTAATAGAATGAGAAGCCTCTGGGCTTCTAATAGCAAGGACTGTTCGTCTGAGGCATGTCTCATCAGTGTTTCTTTCTCCTTGGGCTCTGTGACTAAACCTGTATTAATGAATTAAATGATCTAGGGTCTGTTCACTGGTCCTTGTCACGACATGGTTCGCATCCACAGAGCTAAACTCGTATCTTCTATGCCAGACACCTGCATCCAGATTTTGTATTTGAAGTGTTTCCTGGGCCTGATAACCCCCACACATCATGTGCAGAAGAGCTTGATGGGCCAAAGCCCTGCCAAGGACCATCTGTTTTGTGTGTTCCTCATGATAGTATCTGAGTGCTGAATATAAATGTGGATGTGGAAGGAAATTAGGATAAAAAAAAAAAACAAACATTACTTTTCTTTACACTGGTTTTAGGTAGCTGTGTACTCTGTTCTCAGAATACTTAAAATTATAGGTCATGTTTTAATGTTTAAAGCCAAAGATTCTTTGATTTCAGATGTGCAGGAGTTCTGTGAATGCCTAGCGCTTCAGCAAATCTGGCTGTGGTGCTCACAGTTGGATGGGTTCTGGAAAGTTTTACTTCTGGCATCTGAGAAATCTCTGTTGTTATTTAAAAATATATACTTTGACAGAAGTTGATGGGATTTTCGTACTGATGACTTTGTTCAAATTTAGCTATTTAAATAAATTTTAGGACTTTTAGCTTAAAGAAACTTAGTGTTTTTGTCAGCTACTATCTTATATTGCTGGAACGGGATAATTGAAAAATCAGCCTGGAGCAGACATCAGGCATAAGGAATTTTATCTCTGAAGTAAAATTATAACTAGCTAAAAGCTTGCAAACAAATCAGGCTTAATAAACTGAGAGGATGGATAACTTAACAAATTCAACGGTGCTGACTTCTTTTTAGATCTTTTGTACAAGTTGTATTTTGTACCTTTTCAGTGTGTCATTTGTTTTTTCAGTGACTCCTGTATTTGCTAGCGTTCCTAGTGACATGACAGTAGAAGTTGGCACCAATGTTCAGATTCCATGCAGTGCTCAAGGAGAGCCGGAGCCAGTAATTACGTGGAATAAGGTAATACATATTTGTTTGATTGCTTCAGAAGGCCTTTCCATCTCTACCTAACTGCATATTTACAGGGCAAATTTGCAGATTATTGCTTGTTCTGGTGTCTGAAAATGTTACCTGAAGTTAGATCAGCAAATTTTATGTAATGCAAATTGTGTGTCTATGGATACCAAACTTGAATTGTATATGTATGTATTGGTGCAAAACTTTGGAAACATTGTACAGACCAGCTTAAAATGCTTACCATAGGCCTTAAAAGGTCTTCATATTTCTGTGACAGTTGTAGGCAAATGTCTAATTAATGTTCACACTTCCAGTGACATTATGGGTATAAAGCCATAAAAAATACCGTATTGGCATTGATGAGTCCTTAGATACTGTTATGGCTTCAGCCAGGAAGTGTTTTGGTAACTTTTTGGTAAGCAATTTCCCTGTGGCAGTTTTTAAAAATGCTTCCTCTAGTGGCGATACTGGAAATCACAGAGATGAAACTAATAAAAGTGAGAAATACCAGATAAAGCTTTCACTCTGTCTTTGCTTTCCATTGATGCAATGATAAATAGTTGTTTAGAGCAAGCGATTAGAAATGTCAGAATTCTCTGAGTGAAGTAAAAATGGGTTGCTAATGTTGATCTTCAAATTCCTTGATTATCTTCTTCTCTTCAGTTAATGATCACTTTAAAATACCTTAAATTAATGCTAAATGGATAGTGTATGAAGAATTGATATATATAGCTCTTTTCTGAGACATTTTTTAATTAATTTATTTTGAGTAAGCGAAAGTATATATACATTCTTAACAGGTGTTAAGGTGTGTCTTACTGTTTTTGTAGGTTAAAATTTCTGTAGTGAGGGCCTACAACCATTAAAATACATTCATTAATAATAATTAATGCTTTTTAAAGTAAATAAATTGTAGAATTTAGCTCTATATGCAAATCATCCTGTTACAGTGGCAGTGTTTGGGATTTTATGCACGTTTATGTATATCTATTTGGCTACTGCCTTGGTATACAACAATATAAATACAAAATATAATGTGAGTTCTTTCTGTTTACTAAGTCACTGTGAAAAAAAGGACAGAAAGAAAACACTAATTCAAGTTTGAAAGCAAAGAGTGGAAGAATGGACATATCAGAATAACTAAACACTATGCTTTGCTGCAGGATGGGGTACAGGTAACTGAAAGTGGAAAATTTCATGTTAGTCCAGAGGGATTTCTTACTATTCGTGATGTTGGAACAGCTGATGAAGGTCGTTATGAATGTGTTGCCCGGAATAGCATTGGATACTCCTCTGTCAGTATGGTGCTTAGCGTTAACGGTAAGGTTTATAAATCAGTAAGAGATACGAGTTAGATAATTAGTTTTATTCTAATTGTTTAATTGATCAGATGCAAAAAGTGGCTTCAGCATCAAATGCTGAATTCCTTGTCTTGTTTGTGTTTTTTCTTCTCCCATAATCCTCTCAATTTTTTCATTTAATTCAGGCAAATATCCACCCACAGATATGAGTAAAATGGGAATACATCAGCCAAAATATGTCTGAGACTTAAACTTCAAAGCAAACAGTGCTTTGGGCTCCAAATAGTCAGACTAGTCTCCTCTTGAGATATTATTTGAACCTATGAGATTTACTAATCAAATGCATAGTCTAATCTTTAGGGATAACTGGGCAAAAAGTCCTGTGGCATTTTTAAAGGGGAACTTACACCAATCAATTGAAAACTAAGTTGCAACCAAATGAAAGAATTCATAAAAGTCATAAAGATCTTAAGCTAAAGAAGAAAACAAAAAGAAAAGGAGAAAATAAGAACTTATTCTAATTATTTCACAATAATAATGACAAATAATTAGTATTAATAATTAGTAGCTCACACTTAAGTTTCTTTTAGTGGACTGGATCAATCTATCCCTCTATCAAGAATAAGTTATTTGATTCAATCTGTAAATGTGATTTCTGAGATAAAAGTTACATGGCTTGGAGTTTTTGGAATTTCTCAGACGATTTCATCTCTACTTATGAAGTCTGCATATATAAAGGGAAGTCCAGAAAATTTGAGTTAATCTAGATTACTCTGGAGATGCACAGAAAAAGAGCTTTTTCGTTTTTAATGTTAATCAGATCTCACAACAATCAGAGCTCTGAAAAATGAAACGTTGAAATCAGCTATAATCCCAAAGAAGCAAATTTCATTCATTTAGTGCAGATGTCAACTGCTGTTCCCCATCTACTGAAATTAGCAAACTGCAAAGTTCTGTGATAACTGAAGTACAATCTGCTGTATATAATTGAAATCTAGTGGGTTTTTTGTAAGCTGTACCATAAGCTTATAAAAGTGAAACTCCCCTTGATTCATCTCCACTCAGTCTACAACTGAACTAAAACTGCAGAAGATTTCTTATTAAAACAAGTAGTATATCTGATATTATTTCTATATGATTGCTAGGTAAATGAAGTTATCAAGAGAGTCAAGAGCTGTCAAGCAAGGAGGACAAATGGATAGATTATAAATATTGACATAGCCAGAAATGTTCTAAAAAACTTACATATGAAAATTTCTTTTAAACAATAACAGTCCATGTTTTATGAATGTTCCTAATATATTAAAATATTTTCATAACATTGAAATGGTGGAGTAGGTTTTACAGGTCAGCTTTAGTAGTGTTTTAAATAGGTTTTCTCTTACCATTTTCTTCTGTCCTTAACTGTTGTTTTGTAAAAGTCTCTGGATTAAGTTTAAGGCAGGGTATAAGTAGAATACATTTTCTTTGTTTTTAAAAAATGTTAGGCTATTTTTTAAAAACACATTGCCATTTTTCTTTCCTTTCCAAGAAAAAAATCTAATTATGTGAAAGACTTTCATGAGTACTATAACTTTTAACATTTATCAGTCTAGAAACTGAGCCACTAGTAGCAAATACTTCAAACAAAAATAAAGCATCGTGTAGTTAACCTCTGACCAAAGTTTATGATTCAACCCAGCTGTGCCCAGTCAAACCCAATCATAAAGATAGCTCTACTGAACACATACCTAAAGTGAACACTGAGATTACACCTGTAGCAGACAGTGCTAAGGAAGGTAACCAGGCACTGGATTTTTATAAGCTATAATGCTAACGCATTAAAAATGGTTCATGGCACACAAGCACTCTCTGAAACAACTGAAACTATGGATTACCTTGTAATTAGCATGGATCAAGGACTACTGCAGTTGCACACTGTGGAAAAGATCACTCTGTTTTGGATGCTGAGAGAGTGTGTTGTTCCTGCATCAGCTGGCCTTGGGGCAGTTGCAGCCTTACAGTGCCAGGGACCATTTCCTTTGACAGTGTAGATGGTCAAGTTTGATTGCCCAGGTCCAGACTCTCCAACTCATACGGACACAGCTTAAGCTGCCAGTTAAAAGGAATAGTTAGATATTGCTTGGAAGAGAAAAAAATGTCATGGAAAAACTTGTAAACAACAGTTTTATGTCAGCTGTTTTTGTACAGCTGTTGATTTTATTCCAGTGTATTTGCTTTGGACTTTTTTCCTACTTTAACCTTCTTCCTGTGTGACTTTTCCAATCTAAACACTCTCTCTGGAAATTGTTAGCTGTTGCCCCTGGATCTGGTAGTTCTTGGTTTAGGGTAAAAGGAAGGTTATTAGCCTTAGATATGTTGTATAAACATCCAGCTGCAATGGAAAACTTTATAAAAAGGCAGATGACTGGACCTATGCATTAGTGAGTTAGTTACTAGTATTATGAAGACTCATAAATAGCCTTCAAGCATGTGATTTTTTTAACCTAGTATTATAAAGCTAAAAAATATTAAAGTAGAAAACAAAAGCGTGATCAAAATAAATAAAAGATTTATAACCCTTTAAAATTTATGTGTATTCTTTCCCAAAGAAAACTAAGAATAGGAGCAGTATTGATTAGCTATTTGGGAATATATAGTATTTGGGTTTTTTTGAGTTATGCTTTTCTGTGTTTTATTCATTTTTTAAAAACAGTCTTCAATTTCTGTGATATATTTGTAAGTGTGTGTTAAAAGGCAAAATTAAGTCTGTAAATAAGTTACTCTGATTGCAATGTCTTCCTGGTAACCTCTTAAATTCCTACACTGATTTCAGAACTTAATTCAGTACTAATTGAAATCAATGGGAATACTTCCATTGATTTCAGTGGATATATATAGATCAGGCTCTTGATTCCAACACATGAAAGCTAGTAGCATGCTCCACCATAAAAACTCTTAATAATCATTCATTTTTTACTCTGGTCGTTTTTATTTGTAGGACTAAATAATGTATACTTAAACCATCTTGGGCATTTATCCTCGCATTATTTTATTTTAGAATTATAAGCAAACTGACTTCTTAACTGATATTAACAAGAGTCCTTAATTTTGCTACACTGTAATATGCTTTGATAGAATTCTGAAACAGTTAAGAATTTTATACTTGGTATACTAAAACTTAAAGAACAGGGGTTTACTTTGTGCAACTGAAATGATGTCATGTCTAGACTCTGTTTTATAGAAGTATCTTTTTGTGTGTGGTGATTTTTGCAATAATATATCAATTCCTGTTTCTGTAGTTCCTAATGTCAGTCGAAATGGAGATCCATTTGTACAGACATCAATTGTGGAAGCAATTGCAACCGTTGACAGAGCAATAAATTCAACACGAACGCATTTATTTGACAGGTATGCCCTTCTTTTTTTAATTGCAAAATTAAAATTAATTTTGAGTATGCTAAAGAAATGGAACAATTAATAAACAAGAAACCATTTTATTATTTAAATATCAGTGTTCTCATCTGGATAGTTCTGAGAATACTAGCAGTTTAGCGTGTAAAGACTCCTACTCTTTCAGCGCTAAGTTGCGGAGACTGAATTTTTGTGTGTCAAGATCTTTATTCATTGCTACAGTTTTTCTGGGTAAACAATGTGTTTTAAAGGCTACTAAATGTTTAATACCATGTTCTGTTATTAAAAAAAAATATATATATATTTCTTTTTTGCCTTCCATTTTGAGATGAGCAGCCAAGGTATGTTCTAATCATGTCAAGTTGCAGAATTTTTACAACAATATATTGTTGTTACTTTGTAACGCCTGTGTACACTTACTGTTTTTTTTTCAAATTATTTATTAGTCGTCCTCGCTCGCCAAATGATTTACTAGCCTTATTTCGATACCCAAGAGATCCATACACTGTTGAGCAAGCAAGAGCTGGGGAAATATTTGAAAGGACATTACAGCTTATTCAAGATCATGTACAAGATGGTCTAATGGTTGACCTGAATGGAACAAGTCAGTACTCTTTCCTTATTTTTTCTATGTTGCAGTATATTTGTCCTCTTAAGTCATAATATTTCAAACAATTAATTTTCAGAGTATGGGTGCCAACTGCGGAACCATTACATTGGAATCAGTAGAGTATTTGACTTTGCAGAACTTTACCAAATATATGTTTGCCCAATTCAGTCCTTGATTTGCGCATTGTTGCATGTTTTAACTCAATTTGTTTGACCTCTGCTAGTAAGAGTATGGGTTTTTTTGTTCCTCATGTTGACATATTAGGGAAAAGTTGATGTTCAGATTCTTCTGCTGGCCAAAGTTGGTATATCTAAACTGCATAATGCTTCCTGTCTGTTAACTGACTATATATTAGTTCAAAATTCATTAAGACTACTGTTTTTTACCAAAACAGGCCTTTCTCTTATGTATTAAGAAGAATCAGTATTTTATTGCTATTTCTTTAAATAAGAGCTTTCATTACTTGCATGCTTTAGTGAGGAGAAAAGATGATATAGCAAGAGTTTTGCGTATTTTACAAAACAAGGTTTCCTCATGTACCACAGTGGTATTAAAGAATGAGTCGCCAAAAATTCTTTGAAGTACAGTATTGAACTAAGATAGCTATTTCCTTGAACTCTGTTCTGATACAATAAGAAATACAGTTTTTGCTGCATTTTGTGTTTGTGTTTTTGCTTTATTTTTCATAAATAGCAGAAAAAAACGTTAAGGTTTGATATTTTCTACCTTTTAGTTACTGAACTCCCAAGTTTAAATTCATAAAGTCCAGCTGGAGAGTATACAACTAATGTGTGTAGATATTTGTGTGGATATGCTTGAGACATAGGATTAAAGCATTTGGAAATAATGACAGAGTTTTAGGAGAGCTTTTGAGACTTGAGACCTTGCCAAAAGCTACACTGAAAATCTAGAGGAAATATTTTTACTTGCTGTATTTCTTTTGATGTTTATAATTGAGCATTTATTGTTACTTCCGAAAACTTTAACTCTGACCCTGAACTAGGCGAATTTTTATAAGACTAAAGCCTGCAAGCTTTGTGGAGTAGTGTAATATCTACTAATAAGAGAAGCTTCCTGCTCATTATTAGAGCTGAGCAAATAATTTGTGATGAATAGTTTACCACAAAAATGTATTCAAAATTCTTTGAAGACTTGTGTTTTATAAGAGCGACCAAATTTAATTTGGTTCTCTGATTAGATGCATATGGAAGCGTATTGAATGTAATACTCACAAAATGCAATGCAACAGCTGAGATATGACATCTGATGTGTAAGAATTCCTTAATTGCTTTTCACTAAGATTCATAATAGCAAAAATAATCATTCTGAGGTTTACCAAAAATTAGCGTAAGTGCATACAAAGGCAATTTTGTGATACTGGAAATTCTGTTCACAACCAGAGCTTGCTTGAGACGTACAAAATCCATAGAAACTTGGCTTTTAGGGAAACCGGAACAGTAAAATAAATCTGTTTTTATTTAAACAATCTAATGCTCATTTTTTAATACTCATACTTCTCCTTATTTGGTTATATTTCAAAATGTAAAGCCCAATGAAAGGTGTTATTTACGTGTTTTACCTTTAGAATATTTGAGAAACTTGACAATTTCATATTCAGACACTTTTTATGTAAAATCTTGGAGTATCCCAAAGAAGGATGATGAAGCCAAATTCTTCTCAGGCGTACAAGACTATATAACAAGGGGTATGGCCATAAACTGCTGCTTGGAAGGTTCATGTCGGATGTTAGAAAACACTTTCTCACTAAGAGACTATGCCGCACTGGAACAACTTACCTGGAAAGGTTGTGGAGTCTCAGTCTTTGGAGGCTTTTGAGACTGCTAGACAAACATATAGCTGAGCTGTGTTTAGGTGAGAGGTCCCTTTCCATCAGTATTTCTGTGAGCCAATGAACATGTTCCTTGCAGTTTGAAAAAATATAGTTAATGTTACGTGAATTGAGCTAGGCAGCTTCTAGCCCTGGGAATGCTTGGAGGCCAGCATTTTAGAAAACAGAGCCAGAGTTAGTGCCTGCAATGCATGGGGTAATTGAAGGTCTGAGACTGACATTTGTAATAACCTTCACTCTGATCAGAAAGCCATCATATTTAATCTGTAGATGAGGGGTCTCATCCCACATGAACAACTTCTGACCAGAGAAGCTGAGAGCCTTTTCTTTTAAATTGATAATGAAGGCCATTCCATCCAAAAGTTTCACAGTTGAGTTTTGCTTGCAACTTCATTTCAGAAGTACGGGTGGAAACCAGAATAGCCACAGCAGACAAACATTTATCTAAAGACTACGTGAACAGCAATCATAAGAAGAGAATTTAATGATAAAGGAAGGTCATTTAAAAAAGATGTTACTGAAAAGGAGAGATGTTTTCCTGGGTGTAGTTTTAGAATTGAACTGCCCTAGTTACCAGCATATTATTATATAATATCAATAAAATCCCCAAAGAGCATATTGTGCCACATTACCCAGTGGCACTTAACTGGTTTTGCTCTGTAGTTTAGTCTTCTGTTTCCTCGTCTGGAGGATTCCATAAAATAATATGTGTATTTCTACAAGAACAGGTTAGTTTTGTGCCAAGCAAGCACTAGATCTCTAATATCTTTGCTTCCACTTGTAAAATGTTCCAGAGTACATACTTATCAGAAACTGAGTAAACACAGAGCAGCATGGTGGAAGGAGCAGAGCAGGACTCTAGTCCCCTGCTGAACATATGTTGATGCCAAGTTGTCCTTTCTCTGTGCCCAGCTGATATAAGGTGCTCAGCTATGAGCAGTTCCAGTCCAGTTCAAGGCAAAGGCAAAGAGAGGGCTTCAGCTGGATTGTTTGAAATTGCCCTGAATTATAGCAATTGATAGAGTGCAGTAGTGTATCTAGGGCATATTTATGTGTTGAATATAGATAAGGCATGCCATAAATGACCTCAGGATTGAAAGGAGTATTTACTGACAGTGTGAAGCTAATCTGCACCCACCTCTTGCAGTATTGAGTTTAGTTCATATTCTTGAGTGGTTACCATGAAGGTGAGAACCCCATGAGCCTGTGCGAACACAGTACCCCTATACACTCACCTATTTCCTTTTTCCCTTCTGCTCATTCAATTTTACTTCTGCCTGCAAGCTTTCCAGATCAAGAACCATGGTATGATGGTTCCTGATTAGCTAAAAGTGCATCTACATTGTGAAATATTCTAGCTCCTGGGTTCCCCTCCCAGATCCTGATACCTGGCTCATCCACACAATATGTCCATTCATTCACTCAAGGTGTGTCTATGTTTTGGATCAGCAGGGCCCACTTGAAATGAGTCTTCCTGATGTCCCGACTTACTGTGCTTTGGTTTGAGTTGTCATGTGATCTCGAAGAATGTGGATTCTTTCAAGTCATACAAAAGGAAAAATGTGATCCAAGACTGCATTCAGTCCATGATACCAGAGTAGAGCTTTTCTGAAGTAAATCTGCTGCTATCATACAATGCATACAGCATGCATGTCTGTTTCTCAGCACAAAAACTATCACTCTACAGACACGTTTCCATTGCTCCACATAAAGTTGATGATGTAGATCAGCCCAAATCAATTTCTTTTTTTTGTTGAAATTAAGCCCAGGTGCATTCCTAAGGAAAATTCACTTTAAGAATCACTCCTAATAGGCGTCATGGACGAGACCCAGCCTGACTGGGTTCCTTCTTCTGGGTTCCTTCAGTCATCCAACACTGTACCATAAGGCCTTTATCTTCAGTCCTTCCACATGCTGCCATACCACTGCAGAGATCACGAAACACATCATACCCTCAATTTGAAACCATAAAAATGCTACTCTTATGAGGTGCAGGATATATTATTGAATCCCTCTGAACTGAGAAAAAGCTGCAAGGAAGTGCTAAGTACGTGTTCGTCTCAGGAGTGAATGGTATGAATCCCAGAGGAAACCTGCGTGCAGTGCTATTCAAACACTAGTTTACTTTAGAGTGGCGGATCCTGAGTAATGTGGATGTGAATTGCTTCATACCACTTGGCCTAGAGATCACTCCTAAATTGCCCTAGGTGATTTTCTTTGACTTTTCTGGTTGATTTTTTTTCCTTACAATTCTGAAACTTTCACTGTAATAATAATAATTAAAAAAAGTAATACCTTTAGTAAATGATCAGGTCTCCAAAGATGAAGTTTTGAAATTTATATAAATTTTACTAAGATTTTATTAAACGTTTTACTGACATAGGGAACATTTTCCAATTCTTCTCAGTGAGAGATTATTATTTCTGAAAGTATGTCCACCTTCCTAGGTCATCAAATAGGAAATGAGCTGTCTTTGTGAACATTTTATAGAAGTTTTGCTTGAACTAGCATTTTACAAAATTATCTTCTGACTTAAGAGTAGTAGGTTGTTGTTCAAATGACCTAATAGCCTAAATAAATATACATAGGTGATTGTTCTTTTTAAACATTAGTGATATTTAATAATGTAGAAAATATATCACAAAAATTCTTGATCTTTGAGGGCTGTGAATCTAATTTCTTTCTACCTGTCTTCTGGTTTCAGGTTATCACTATAATGACCTTGTATCCCCACAGTACTTGAACCTAATAGCTAATCTCTCAGGCTGTACAGCTCATCGGCGAGTGAACAATTGCTCAGATATGTGCTTTCACCAGAAGTACAGGACACATGATGGAACTTGCAACAACCTGCAGCATCCAATGTGGGGTGCTTCTCTGACAGCCTTTGAACGTCTGTTAAAATCAGTCTATGAAAATGGATTTAATTTACCTCGAGGAATTGAACCCAAGAGACTCTCCAATGGATACGCACTCCCAATGCCTCGCTTGGTTTCAACTACTCTGATTGGAACTGAAACGATAACTCCTGATGATCAGTATACTCACATGTTGATGCAGTGGGGTCAGTTTCTTGACCATGATCTTGACCTCACAGTTGCCGCACTAAGCGAGGCCAGATTTTCGGATGGTCAACACTGCAGTTCAGTTTGTACAAACGATCCTCCATGCTTTTCTATCATGATACCACCAAATGATCCCAGAGTTAGAAACGGTGCACGCTGCATGTTTTTTGTGCGCTCCAGTCCAGTTTGTGGAAGTGGCATGACATCTCTCCTAATGAATTCTGTGTACCCGCGAGAACAAATCAACCAGCTCACTTCATATATTGATGCATCCAATGTATATGGCAGTTCAGACCACGAAGCACTAGAAATCAGAGACTTGGCAAGTCAAAGGGGTCTTCTGAGACAGGGCATTGTACAGAGATCTGGCAAGCCTCTTCTTCCGTTTGCTACTGGTCCACCAACAGAGTGTATGAGAGATGAAAATGAGAGTCCAATTCCTTGCTTTTTAGCTGGTGATCAGCGTTCTAATGAACAACTGGGTCTTACCAGTATCCATACATTGTGGTTTAGAGAACACAACAGAATTGCCACAGAGCTACTGAAACTCAATCCGCATTGGGATGGTGACACAATATATCATGAAACACGTAAAATTGTTGGTGCAGAAATGCAGCACATAACATTTAGTCACTGGCTGCCTAAGATCTTTGGAGAGGTAGGCATGAAGATGCTTGGCGAATATAAAGGTTATGATCCCAGTGTTAATTCTGGCATAACTAATGAGTTTGCAACTGCCGCTTTTAGGTTTGGTCACACACTCATTAATCCTTTTCTGTATCGGCTGGATGAAAATTTTGAACCTATTCCACAAGGCCCTCTACCTCTTCATAAGGCATTCTTCTCTCCATTTCGGATTGTAAATGAAGGAGGCATTGATCCACTTCTAAGGGGATTGTTTGGTGTTGCTGGTAAGATGCGTGTCCCATCACAGTTACTCAATACAGAATTAACAGAAAGACTCTTCTCGATGGCACGTACTGTGGCTTTAGATCTGGCAGCTATGAATATTCAGAGAGGCAGAGATCATGGAATTCCTCCCTACCATGATTTTAGAGTTTACTGTAATCTTTCTTCAGCTCAGACTTTTGAAGATCTGAAAAATGAAATTAAGAATCCTGAAATCAGGGAGAAACTTAGCAGGTGAGCCTAAGGTGAAGAAAAGCAATTATGTACCTGTGCATGTTAAAATAGTAATTAAATGTCTTATCTAGAAGAAAACATTTGTTAAGAAAGGGGTAAAGTGATTTTTCAAGAAATTTCCACTGGTATCAGGAAACAGATGCGGAAAATTCCCACAGGCAGTTAATTTCTCCACTTCTAGATCTCTGTGAACAACATGAAGTTAACACAGACTATGTTCATGAAAGTATTAATTTGAAATATCTGTTTTTATATTATCAAATAAGAATATTATTTTAGTAGAAACATGTATTTAATGCCGATCTCATGCAAGCATTTATAATTTTAGTTTCGTCCATTGCATACACTGAATAAAAGTAGCAGGAATATAGCTGAACATGGTTCACTATATTTTTTGTGTGTGCAACTTTTCACCACAAATAATCTGTCCTTCTTTAAAAGTATCAATGTTTGAAAATAAGTCTTATGTTAACTGCCATCTCTAGATAACCTATACAAAATCAAAGGCAGAGAAAGAGGCTTAGCTAGAGTAAAAGAGAAAGTGTACAGAGTAGCAGGAAGGAGAAGCTACTGTAAAGGAACATGTGAGGAATCAGAAGAGAGAGCTACTGGAAGAAAGAGATTTGTGGGACAGACTTGTAGATGTCCCATGATGTTGCTTAGATATATAATTCACATTGCAGGGTTTCTTGCATATACCCCATAGGTTATCCACACACGATGTAGTAATGTCTTTGTCACTTACACTGCAAGTTATTCAAATCTCTTGCCCTTAGTTTTGCCATATCCTCATTATTTTGTAAATATATATCATTTAATACTAAATATTTGTGTTTTTCTTCTTACAGGTTGTATGGCTCACCACTGAACATAGATCTATTTCCCGCTCTAATGGTAGAAGACTTAGTTCCAGGAAGCCGCCTGGGGCCGACTTTGATGTGTCTGTTAAGCACACAGTTTAGGCGTATTAGGGATGGAGACAGGTAAACTGAAATACAATGAAAAACAGAAGTAATTTTAAATAGAGGTTGCTTAATAGCAGTTACAATGTCTTGCTTCAAAATCAAACCTCATTTTTCACTTTCATATATGATTTTAACATAGCTTTGAAAAGATTAAGAGTACTGGTTTTGAACTATATAAAAGGCTGTGATTAATTTATTTTTAAAATCTCTTACTTTTTATGGTGAATATATCATGCTAAGCTCCAAAAAGCACCACAGTCAGCACATGCTGATTAAGCATGAGACTGGGAGCTAGAAATTAATGAGTTTCCTTTTACTATTTATTCAAGTTAGTTAACCACCTGCTCTGCTTTTTTTTTTTTTTTCAGAGTGGGTATTCCTTGTTCACTTTCAGTTGTATTTAATTTACATTGGATAAAGACTGAGGTGTGCAAGATTGGACTGTTGGCCAGCTGTCTCCGTTGGCACTATAGTGGTCTTTCTGAGAGAGCTGGATAAAAGCTCCAAGGAAATCTGCAATTTTAGTACCTATGGGCATGCTTCATTTTGCAGCCATAAATCACTTTAGAGACCCCCCACTGAAAAATAAGGTTAAAAAAGGAACTTCTGAGCACTTGAATAGGTTTCTGAGTATCCATTATCTCTTATCTGATAGTTAGATAACTATCTAACTATCAGTTATCTACCAAACTAGTACCAAACAGCTAAATGCCTTCAGAGAAATATTTATCCAATGAGACTGAATAGAGCAATAACATCTTGTTAATTTGTTCAATTGGAAGTATCCAGGAACTGGTAGTTCCTGCAATGAGTATAGTCTTATCTTTGATTCATCTTCATAAAAAGAAGAAATAAATGTCCTCACAGTACTTGACCAGTGTCAGGCTATTCTGATGTGCAAGCTAGTCTTATCAGTCAGTGAGTTGGTCTCCTCATCATATTAGGAAGTAGCTGCTTTGCCTGGCAGGTGCATCAGAACGCCTTGTTCCTTCAAAAAAAAATGATGGAAGGCTCCAACTCTACTCAGTTACGACTATAAATTTTCCATTCCAATCAATGAAAAATATTTAACTAGCAAAATAAAGCTTTGGTGGGCTTTGTCATTTTATGCACTTATTTTTGAAATTAGAGGTTTGTTTACGCAGCTCTTGAAGCATTAGAAATGGTGGCAGAGCATGCCAATTTGCAGACTTTCAAAGATTGCTCCAAGCTGCTATTTATTTTCTCAGCTCCCTAATATATCTAGGACATACATACCAAATCCACAGGTGCATATTAAAAAGAAGGCCAAAAGTCCATGTCCAAGTAGGATGACTTCAGTTCAGGCTGGATATTACAGTTAAGGAAAAAGCTATCAAGAATGTAGTGGGGGTACTGACATTTATTGTAGTTTACTGGGAAGAACAGTTAGGTGAAGAGAGATGAAACAATTCACCTAGTGGAAGTGTGTCTCCACTGATAGCAAAAGGAAGTGAGAATGACTAGCTTAGATTTTTAGGGTTACTTTTTTCATGTGTGAAATTAGGAGAGATTAATCTCTTCCAAATACAGGAATGCATATACCTAGTCACCTGAAGGGGAAAGAAAAGCTATTTAAAGAACTGAGATTTAAAAATCTCTTTAAGATGTGTAATTTACTTGGATTCTATGATCTTCCTTTTTTTTCCTCTACTATAAAGACTAAATTATTTTGTTGGCAAAGGAATTGTGATTGGGACTTTTCCACTGTCTGTACTAGTAAGCATGTTTTGGCAAAGTATTATCCCTGTATATGACCCCAATACATATTTCTGCACAAATGATCTGTGTGCAAAAAGTGTATTAAAAGCAGGAAATGTATGCCGGGAACTCAGTTTGATAATTGATCTTAAATTACTTTACATACAAGTTGAGTAACTTTTCATTCTCCATTCCCATAGTACCTGGAATAAGAAAATGCTGATTGTTATTGTCACAGCACCTAGAAATCTTTATTTAATTTCAGCACTCTGTATTCATTCAGAAGTCTGAAAATCAACATTTCGCTCATTTTAACATCATTAATGAACTAGAATCCCAATTTCTGCATAGCATGAGGGTAGAAAGACTGATGCTGATTAGTCCCAGCCTAGTGAAAGAAAAATAGAGGAAGAATTAGGCAAATAGATTTCATTCAATTTATCTAATATAATTTACTTTACATGAGTTATAAAATTGCTATGTAAGATAGTATAAAAGCTTTTTCCTTCCACAGTGAGTATTACAAGTCTTATTGTATGTTTCTTTGTAAAATTTTCTTACATAAAATCTGTCTAAAAATTAAGCTGTGAAACATAAACCTCTACAGTTGATCTGCTTGGAAGTAGAGGGAGTAAAAGCAGAAATATGAGTAGTAAGAGCTCCAGATTGCTGATGACAACAAGTACTTTTTTTTTCTCCCTGAAACAGCATTTAGGAGATATATGAAAACATTGAATATTTAGGAAATGGGATTGTGCTGTCCAAAATATATAGATGTTTTGAAGTGACGTGCCAGCAAATAGTAAAATATTATTAGACATAATGAAAACAACTCTCACTTTGAAAAGCCTTTACAATGGACAGACGATCCAAGTTGTCAACACCATGCAAAACAAATGTACCTGTTCAGGGAAAACGAGTGATGTTTGAAGTGAGCCTAACTTCTTCTGAAGATGGAAATACATAGTTCAGAATTCCAAAATCTGTTTTTCTGGTCCCAGTGCTTGGGGTTGCATTATCCACTGTCCAATGTATGCATGACAGTGATGCAATAAGTAGGTAAGATAAAATTTGTTGACCATTCTTCTAGGTTTACTGTAAAATTATTATTGATTTTTTGTTTAAGTTTAAAGAGCATCCTACTTAATTTTGGTTGAAGTAGACGAAAAACTACTAATTTAGCAATATAACTTTACAGTTTTGTGAGATGTAAACAATATTGCAATAAGCAATTCCTCTATGTTAAAATAGCATAAAATGTTTTCAGATCCTGGACAGTCACTTAAAATGTTTCATTATACAAGGGCTGGCTTGTTTTTTGTAGTGATGTATTATTTATATTTTCTTTTGATAACAGGATTTTTGCCTATATGAAAAGTAAAAGATATATTCCAAAAATATAGGATTTCCTACTTGAATTGAAGTTTACTGAGCATATATTAATAAGTCTATTGATTAGTGTAGTTATTAAAATAGATTTAAAGATAAAAATTCCATAGTAAACTTAACAACCTCTGTTATCTTAGTAATAAAATAGGTGTAGACTAGCTATTCTTCTAATCTCCTCAGCAATTCTATCAGGACACTAGGAAAATTTTCTGGAGAAAGATATTTACAGTAATGTAAGGCTTTACTTTAAGGGACCTTAAGGATGCAATTCAGTTTCCTAAATTCAGCAGTCTGGTGCCAAATGTCTAGTTTTACATGTCCCAAGGTACCCAAGACATCTAAATGGGGCCAGAAAAGATGTCAAATTATCTGTGGAAGACTCAGGCCCTTTTAGAGTGGCAGCTGAAGGCAGTGGGGGTGTGTGAAGTGACGCCGAACAGTTGCGCTGAGGCCTCTGAATCACTCTCTGAGGTACAAAAATATGAAGTTCTCTTGAGAACGGGGTGCAAAGAATGCATACAGCATTGTAAGATATCTGGAAAACTACACATAAAAATGTTATTCTTTTTTCACTAGCCTAATCTGTCTAAGAACTTGTCTTTTCTGTGAGATTACAGGTTATGGTATGAGAACCCAGGTGTGTTCACTCCTGCTCAGCTCACTCAGATCAAGCAGACGTCTCTTGCCAGAGTTTTGTGTGACAATGGTGACAACATAACCAGGGTACAACGTGATGTCTTTAAGGTGGCTGAATTCCCGCATGGATATAGTAGCTGTGAAGATATTCCTAAGCTGGACCTCAGGATGTGGCAAGATTGTTGTGAAGGTCTGTATGCAGGTGGATTTGGGTGTATTATACCCACTTTATTTATTTTATATTTATCTTATTTTAATAAGATATGTAGCTTTTTCAGTTTTTATTAAGATATTTTGCATGGTTAAAAATTCAAACCTAGAGCATAGACCATTACTTTTTAACTTCCCCATAGAAGAAAAACGGTGAGAACGATTCTTGTGTACTGAAGTGTCTTCTTTGAGGAGTTGTCCTTTCATCTGCCATTGTACCAAGAGTTGGATTCTGTATCACTGCTGATCAGTCGTGGTGTTGAACTATGTCAGCTTTTGGGATAAACATTTTATCTTCATTCATTTCAAAGTCTAGAAGAGAGAGGTAGAATAATATTCCTTGTTTATTAATAAAGGATGAAGATTTAAAACAGTTACCACAATCGTTTAATTACTGATTGTGCCATATCTTCTATGAAATAGACATATTCTAAACATAGCATAGATTGGAGCACCTAGAAGATGTAGATAACTGCTTTCCCGTTGTCTTCCTTTTGTGGATAAATATTCATGTTCGTTGTCCTCTTCAGGATTTAGGACAGTGGGATTTTTTTCTTCAGAACAGACTTTTTTCTCGAGAAACAGGGTTTAGATAGCACACAAGAAGCAGAAGACACTAAGAGTCCTGTGTTACTCTGCAGCCAATATCTTGGCCTCTAACTCACTTCCCATACAGACTTTATGCATGACCTCTATTTAGCCATCAGCATATCAGACTTTGCTGCATCTTTAGCATAGTTAGAAGATCTTCTTAAGAGAAACTTGTGGGTCATAAAGGTTGGGTGAATTCCATTATTTGGAGCAGCATCAAAAACAACATACTTAGGGAATAAATGACATCTTCTTTGTGAGCTCTTCTTGGCATTAGTGTTATTACCTTCTCTTGATGAAGCATGGACATCATCTTCACATTATCTATGTATTAGAGAATATTCATATGTTAAGATTCTTGGGAGTTCATTCTTGTCATCCGACTGGAAAATGGTTTAAATTTATGCAGCTTGAGAAGTCATACAAACAACATTATTCTTGACTCTAAAGGGCAAAGTTTCTTCCAAAACTATTTTGAAAGATTGTTTTTGATTCTTAAATGTCTACCTGCCTTATGGTTTTTATTCCTCTGTGTAGAAACCTGATCTAAAAGTTGCCTGTTTGTCTTATATTTTAATATTTAAAATATTAATTGGTATATTTGCATTTCATGATAGAGCCATCATTTTACAGATCTAGAATTTTTCCTTTGACACTTCTGTCATCTCTCCTCCATAGAGGAAATATTTATCTTAGAAACCTTATACACATGATAATATTAAAGGACAATAAATCATTCCTTTAGAACTGAGCTCTTCGGTCACGATACATCAGATATTTTCGTCATCTTGCTGGAGTTGGCAGCTGTTATCCATAGGATTTTGTTGACATCGTTATTGAAACAGGAAAAAATATATCCAACTGAGATGTCACAGCTATCTTTCCTGTCATGACAGCAAGGTTCAAATGTTGTTTGCTGAAGGCTGAGTGTCAGTAGAATTACTGCTTTTTATTAAAGGGAAAAATGCGTTCAGATTTTTATGGACAGTAATGCTGTGATTATATATCAAATGAAAACTGCCACAGTTGGTAAGACTAAACTTCATTTAGCATTGTATCCTGTCTACTGTAGTGATCAACAGTAGATAAGCATACTGCTTAAACTACTGCTGATAAAAATTTTAGAGAAATGATTATTCTGTATTATTATCTCCCATACAAAATTCAGGCTCATTTTTTTGCTGCATTTGCAAACTGTTATCAATCTTGACATATTTAAAATTTTTATGTCAAGCTGTATCTAAAATACTAAAAGGATTTAAAAATTATTTCTACCAATTAAAGATAATGTGTTTGAATGCTGTATTGTCTTGTCTAGTAAACAACTCTTTGAATAGTAAATCATTGGATAATAAAATTCTTCCCAGGAAGACTTGGTTCAAATTGGTTGTTATCTTTGTAAGGATACTGGAAGAAATGAATACTAAGTTTTTAATGAAAACTTGTGCAATTTTCCCCAGATGTCATTTCATTCGGGTCTTGCCATAATATTTGCCATGTTTTTTTTAAGTTATTCAGATTTAAAAAAACATCTTTACCATTTTTTTCTCTCCAGATTGATGGTTACGGCTTGTGACACTCTAAGATACAGTTAAAGTATTGCCATTTTATTTACACAAGACAAAGTCTTTCAGTATCTCTTCAAAATAAGTATAACGTATGCCAGAATCATTAAGAGAAAATCAGTTATCACTCTTCAAGTGTTCACCTGTAAACAAATTAATCTTATTCTGTCAGTTCAGGATAAGTTCACTTTGACACTGCTCATGCAACTTCGCAGGCAGATTCACAAATACATTAGTTACATCAATTCGTACAAATTGTAAAGCTATTTTGTAAAATTATGTGTTGATTCTCTGAATATTATGTTATCACTGAGCCTTCTAGAACAGATGTTATTCTTGGAAGGTCTTTAGAGTATTGAGCCATTCAACAGTCTAGCATGTACTTGCATTCAAAAGTGTTACTACCAGAGAGGAGTACTGAATTCAATACAGTTAGGCAACTGCCAGGCAAAAAAGTAAGTAACTAAGGTACTTTAAGAAATTATCTATCTGTGTTCCCTTCTTCTCAACTCTTTGGAAGTCTGTGCAGAGATTAATCAAGAAATTGAAATATGAATGGCTTGAACTTCTTTGTTTTGTGGATGAATGGGAGTGATAGTGTTTATGGGAATCCAAGGTTCTTTCTTGTGTGGACGAATGGGAGTGATGATGTTTATGGGAATCCAAGGTTAGGCAAGTCAATTTAAAAACTAGTTTCTTTCTCAGGCACTGAAAAGGAGTACATACAGAGTATACCTTAAAGAACATCAGTTACTTTAAGGCAAATAAACTATGTTTGTTTATTTGTTATTTTCATGTATTTTTATATTTAGAAGAAAAACATTTAAAACATATACCTTCTCCATATTTAAAATCCTCTTCATGATTGTATGATTAAAGTTCCCCTAGGCTGCACTAAGTTAAAATTTAGAAGGTAAGTATCAATACTATATCATTGCACTTTATGTATGTTTAATAAATGATCCTTTTGTTCAGCTGTTTTAGCTTAGTTAAAAAAATACATCTGTTTTTGTTATCTTTGTTTAAGTCAAAATACTTTTCCACATGAAAAACAGAATAACTTCTTAGTTACAAAAAGCTACTACTTAGATTTTTTTGAGTAAAGCCAATATTTACTTTTTTCTAAAAGCAAAGCATTATTCCTTTTTATAATAACAATGCCAGACTACCTTTAGATTTTAGTTAACAAATCATGTAACAGAATTACTCATTTATTGTTGGGGGTGGAAAACCATGTGTTCCACTGAGGTACACAGGATTTTCTTCTAGCTTTCTTGACTTTCTACCTTTCTTCTTTTGTCACAGACAGTGAGGAATTACTGCAGAATGTATCATTTGAGCAAAGAGCATCCAAGCTTCAAATTTTCCAAACAAGCAACTTTTGATGCTTTTTTCAGGCTCTCTAGTGCAAAAGATTTTTTTTTTTTTTTTAAGTACTCAGTGTAGGCTGCCATGACTACTGTTACTGACTTTGTGTCTCAGTTCTGAGCCCAAATCACAGAAATGATAAAGCTTTCTTCCTTCAAAGGTAAGCATATTAATTTGGACAAGACTTAAAAATGTTTTCGAGAGATGAGTTATATAAAAAGAGTGTAGAAAGTAGGTGCGAATAGGTTGACTCAAATGGAGTCATGATTTTACTCCAAACATCTAAATTTGAGATGTTTTCCATCGTGTGTTTGAAAGTTTTGCACAATTTTTTTTACAATTCAGAAACAAACCTATCTTTAATCTGTTGCTTTATGTCTAACAATGACCCAGTAGGAAGTGATTCAGATGAGGCGCCAGGAATCCTCATTAGCGTAAACTGATTTTGGAAGGTATGACTTAACTGTTGGTCAGTTAGCAAATTATATGTCTGCTGTACCAGATATTGTTCTTACGCAAATTATGGTTAAACATATTTAAATCCCACTGAATCACATTAGAAGACCTATACTTAATCTGAGTGCATTTATGCATGGTCTTCCAGTAGGATAGACTTCTAAAAATCTGTATTTTAAGACCAGACCAACAATTATGTCATACGCTTACATACATTACTTCTATATTGACTACATAAATCTCTTGGGTTTAAGCACTGCTTTCAGAAAGACAGTCACTATTTCTTTTAATTATTCTTATTGTGCTTTATTCTAAATTATAATTTGACTGACTTTTACTTCTAGTATTATATTTTATTATGTTCTTCTCATATCTTCATTGAAAATACTAAATAATATTGAGCTAACTGCTGAATGCTGTGGAACACCTTACACATAATCTTAAAATATTAACAGCAGTCTCAGTATAAGACTGCAATGACTTTTGTAATAATGGATGTTGTTTACTAAGAACTCTTTAGAATTTCAGAATGACATCTTTTATGCCTGGAGGTTTTTTCTCTTTACACAAATCTTGTAGTTTGCTTATGTCATGTCATATTTATTTTTGCTTTCTACATTTAAATATATCTTTTAACATTTAAATTTACATTTAAATACAGTGTCTGTTAGCTTAATAATGATTCAGACTGGCTTAATAATGAAAGTCTATTAAACTTAAGTTCCATCGTCTGTAATTTTAAGAATTGCCTCCTTCTTTTTAAAAACCGAAGTACATTTAATATATTCCAGCATTTCTATATAAATTTTAGTAAGAAAATCAATATTTTTCTTAGTATTTAATCCAAACCAAGAATATTATATTTTTTCAGGTATCTTGTATCAGTAGCGTACAGTTCTATGTATAAACTTAAAATCAAGACTTCATTTTTCACTGCCTTAACCCCTGGCAGTGTTTCATCTTTTCTTTCAAGGGTCTCAGGCTAGGAGGACCCATCTGT